AACGATCATTTGGAATAAATCGATGAATGTGAACTTCATTTCATTTTGTCATTTGTTTCTTCGTCAGTTTCATTAGGTGACTTTAATAACACTTAAAAATCAAATATCCCCTCCTTTTTTTGAATAGTATATTTGGTTCTTAATAGAACTGTGAACTCTAATGAGGAGTTTGTACCAAAGGTTAAAATTTAATTGTCTGGCTATAATCTACAATTAGTAGCATTTCATAAAATAAGTTCTTCTGTTATGATTTGGAGAGGTGAGAAGACATGATAAGGTCTGTCATTGAGTCAAGTGGTGTGGTTTTGATTCCCCTCTTGTACGTGACAAGGAGTAGGGTCGCCTTAATAATCTTGTGGTTTTTCTCCAGGTTCTCCGGTTTGCTCCCACTGCTAAAGATCTCGACGCACAAGCGTATATTGAAATAATATTGAACCATGTGTTAGTCCTGAAATGACCTAGTTTGTGTCAAGTGGATGTTAAAACCCCCATTTCTCTCTCTATATTACGGTTTCAGTAATAAAAAAAATGGCTGTTTGTTTCTTGATTAATTTTGCACATCTTATAATGAACTCTTCATGACAAGGTTAAACTCTAATCAGGATTATGGCCAAAGCTTAAAATTATATTGTCTTCTAATCCACAATTACAAGTACTTTAATTAGCAGCATTTCAGTATATCACGAGGACAACATCGAAAGTTCAAATTCGGTCCAACTTAATATGCTGGCTTGTTATTCCATAAAAGAAGGGGTCAGGACAACCGTTTCAAGGTCACTGACCATTATAAGATAATTATAGCATGGTATATTGGTCATCCTAATGTCCTTTCTACATGGACGATGTGTATAATTATGTGTATGTATAGAGGGAATAGAATTAATGGAATAGACACTGCAGAGTTAATTATATACAGGTTTGAGTTACTTAAATTCATTTGTTATTGTCCAGTTAAAGAATTGACCTTCGATGTGTTACATCCATGTACTCCCTCTGTTTAACTCATTCTTTGTGATGATTTTATATTATGAAGTTGGAATGAAGAATTTGTATGGGTGAATAACACATTAAAAACGACGACAGACATTAACACAAAATTGTAGTCTATAGTGGGGCTCTTTTTTCATCGACCTTTCGATGTTTTCTGTCTCATGCTTTCTTTGTGATAACTTTATGTTATGAAGTGTTAATGAATTTTTGTGTGTGAAAAAAATGTTGGGGTCTTTTTCACCTTTATGTACGATGATATCTTTTTGTTATGAAATTTAGTGACGCACGCCGGTAAATCGTTTGATCTCTTCAAATTGCATGGTGTGCATTATTTTGCAGACGACAAAATTCAAGCGGAATTCAAAGGATGTGTGGTAACAGAAAGCCTTTAATGACAACAAGGGCTGGTTACACAACGGAACAAAATATAAACAAGGGAAAAAATGTCAGGCATGATTGTTGATTACATAAACCGAGTTCCACGTTAAACATAGCTTTATATTGATCCCCTCCGCACATTGATTACTTTTAAAATTTGTCGACAGGCAACGTAAAAAAAATTGTAACTTGTATTGTATGTACGTTTTAATAGTTGTGTCTGCTATTGATAAAGATTCTACCCCTGGTTGTGTGTTCTGGCTGTATTGATATTTTCACCTGACGTAGCTGTAGCGTTGAGATGATTTTGTAAGCCGTTTAAATAGAGATTATAGAGAAAGTGGTTAGTTAATAACCCAGCTTATATCTGGTAATAGTTTTCATGTGACGGGAATATAGTGGAGATTTGTTTTTTAACATTTTTTGGTGATACATGTGTTGTTTTTGTTAATAGCTAAGCTCAATTCATTATGGGTTAGGTAAAATATTTATATTGTTTTGTGTTTTAAATCAAATTTCTGGTGGATTTTGGAAAATCGCAGGAACAATTGATTCTTAATTTTGGATACATATGGTAATTAAAACTCAATTCATTGTGTGTTTGGTGAATATTTTCTGGTGGAATTTTAAAAATTGCAGAAATTGATTCCTATCATTATCATTTTGTTTTTACTTGATGGATCACAGTTTTGGTTACATGTATTGGTGGAATTAGCTTTGATATCATGTTTTGTGTTTTGAATCTAATTTCTGGTGGAGTTTTAAAAAATTGCAGAAACAGATGATTGTTAACTCGCTCTCTTTTTTCCCTTTAACTTCGTAGATGGGGCTTTTCGTGAAATGTATTGGTGAAATTAGCTTCAGTGTAGTCATTTGAATCAAATTTCATGTGGAATGCAGAAACAATTGATTCTCTGTGTGGGCTTTATTTTTTAGCTTTTATAAATCAAGATTCTGGTTTCATGTGTTGTCGAAATGAGCTTTAATATCGAGTTTTTTAATCAAATTTCTGGTGTAATAAAGAAACTTAAAAAAACAATTAATTCTCTTTGATCGCTTTTTTACCTTTATAAATCAAGCCTTTGCTTGCGTATTGATGAATTTAGCTTGAGGATAAAATAAGTAGTGTTCAAATCAATTTTATGTCAGGGCAAAAAAAATTGAGTTAACGCTGTGTTTGTACAAGATGTGTTTTTGAATAAGTTGTTGGGAGTTATGAATGGAAACTTATTGAAATATATCAAATATATTATCCTGTACTTGTAATTAATTCTATAAATATGTTAGGGCGTGGTATGAAAGAGCTGTTATTCATTCTATAGTGCATCAGAAAGGATATGCAGCTATTCTATTTTTATAGAAGAAAGGAAACGTGAGGTGTTAACTCCTCTTACAGTACTTTAATTATTTTAGAATGACATATAATTCTGTAAATATGTCTGGGAGAATTTTGTCCAGACAGCAGAATTTTAGTGTTTTTTGAATTGACACCTATCCCTTCCCCCATTTCAAATTGTGTTAACTGACAAGCACTGTTATATCGGATACCTTAGTTGTTGCTTATCCTACAAGTTCAAATGGCTGGTAGGCAGTAGTAGTTGTTGTTTATCCCCCACACACAGTTTATATTCAGTAGTTGTTGTTTATCCCAAGGTTTATATTCCATAGTTGCTGTTTATCCTATTGTTTATATTCAGTAGTTGTTGTTTATATTCAGTAGTTGTTTATATTCAGTAGTTGTTGTTTATCCCACAGTTTATATTCAGTAGTTGATATTTATCCCACAGTTTATATTCAGTGGTTGTTGCTTATCCCACAGTTTATATGGCTGGTATGCACTAGTTGTTTAATATCATTAAAAAACATTTAGAAGTAGAGGCATAACATTGCTACATGTAAGAATATTGATATAAATAAGAAGTGGTATACCTATAAAGTTGTGTTTTTATGAAAGTCGTTACTGTTGTTTATTCCACGGTTCATATAGCTGGTATGCAATACTTGTTATTGTTTATCCAATGTTTCATATGGAGGACATTTAGAAGTAGAGGTATAATATTTATAAAAAACACAACTTTATGGATTTACTACTAAGAATAATATTGAAATAAATGAAGAAGTGGTAAACCTATAAAGTTGTATTTTTATAACAGTTGTTGTTGTTTATCCCACGGTTCATATGGCTGCTACACAGTAATAATTATGATTAATTTATAGGTAATCAGTTTTTAGTAACACACTAATCAATAGATCTAACAGGTACATAGGTATATAAGTAAAACTATTATTGATTAACTGACTTTTAACATGCTTGGCTTTCCACTCTGTACTTAAACTATGGAATTATAAAATATGTTTTGATAATTTCATATAATTATTAAACGAGATATTGTTTTTAGGGGGCTGTCCTATGGTGCTAGTGACCCCTGCGGTTCCTTTGTCTTGGACTGTTCTGTCTTGTAATGAAAGATATTTCTTTGAGTTTAATTAGGTCATCTGTTGTAAGCTGAAAGAGTTTCTGTTATGGATACGATTCCAGATATGTATCTCACAATGAATAAGATGTTTAACATTGTGTTGTGATTACGATTCCAGTCTTATACATTATAAGAAGCAAGATCACCGGTTTAATGTTAAAGGAACTAAATCCCTTTTCTTAAGGACCTAGTTAAATGGACACAAATAGGTTGCAACGTATTTAATAATGTAATATGAATGTATATTATGAACTGATTTCCATTCAATTGTTTTTGTTTTTACTGTTATTTCTAATCAGTTACATTCAGCGAAATACGTGAATAGTCCAAACTGAATGGCAGTCTTTGGTTATTCCAATCTACACCGGTAGTATTCTCGTTTGGGGTATGTTTAGCCTCGTTCATTGAGTTGCTTCATTACAAATGACACTCAAAAGCATTCTGGCACATGATTCATGTGCCAATTTTAAAAGTTTCATTTTGTCTTAAATATTGGATAGCAGAAGCCCAACTTTTCACGGTAAGATAACAACATGAAAGTTGATTTAAATTAACCAATAAGACTTTTTTGCAATGTTGAAGATTGTGGATGATATTGAGTTAAAGACTTGGCTCCTTTAAATTTTTCTCCAGTTTACCAGTTTTCTCTTACTGTAAAATGATCTGGTCTGTGTAGAGTAGACCCGGCCCTGAATTCACAAAGCATTTCCAGACTTAATTTAAGAATTTACTCAACTTTCAATCACTGTTTATGAGAAATATCTTTATTCCATAAACACCACAATTTGCATAGAGTTTCTTCCTGATGTATTTGATACATTAAAACAACAAAAGTTTTATAAAGGGTTATAAATTCTTAACTTTATTCTGAGAATGCTTTGTGAACTCCTGGTCTGGTTTTGTCCCAAATGAGTATTTGTCTCTATTTTTTGTTAACAATTTGTCTGTGAATGGATTAAAGGTTTTAACATCATTTGATTTAGAGTATTTTCAATGACCACATTTGTCTTGTGTAATTGTTTGTGTGTAATTCGCCCTGCACTTTACTATAGACTGCACGTCTGTTTATGTATTGAATTAATTGTCCAATGAAAGAACACAATCAGGTTTCATTTTTTTTTTTAAAGAGTGCAAAAATTTAAGATTTTTTTTATGTGAATACATGGTTCGGGTTTGAATGTTAGCAAGAATCAATTTCATTTAAGGACTCTGTGTGTGAAATCTATCGTATATTACAATGTATCACGGTAAAATTGAATACAGCCAAGGCCATTTAAACATTAATCCGTCGATTCATATTGGATATTGGCAATATTACTGGTACAGGCTCGTGTGGTAAATTTGCTATGTATTGATAACAGATTCATATGGTAAAAGTTGTATGTACTATTAGGCTATTTAAACATTTTTTAGTCGATTCATAATGGATATTGGCAATATTGTTATTACTGGGTGATGTGGAAAATTTGCAATGTATCAGTAACAGATTCGTATGTTAAAAATTATATTTACTCTATTTTGCTGGCATAAAAACAATGTTTTGGGTAAAGGTCTTGCCATTTTTCTCCTGCTTTTAAACTATAACAAACCAAACCATCTTTATTTATTTAATTCCGTATTTTTTTTTTTACTTACGATCCATCGCTATAAAATTTATAATATCACATATACAGAAATCGTAGATAAGGTGTTTTTGGCAGTAGATACACAATTTAAAAGAACTTTTATATGTTCTATTGGAAAGTGCACATGAATACCATCTTTAATAAATTGATAAATATTAATACGCTTAACCCAATTTGATTTCATATTGATAAATACACAATTTATAAAAACTTTTATGATGGTAGATTGGAAAATGCAAATAAATACAACTTTGATAAATTTCTAAATAAGGATGGTCTGATTTGTAATTTAAGAGTACAGGCAAAAGTTCATATTGTAATCCATGTGGTAAAGACAGTAAGCATTGTACATGAGTTATCTTAACCATTTAGTCGCATCAAATGATATAGTTAATTAAGTTTATCATATTGATTTCAATATTTAAATTTAGGCCAAATCAATTTGATTATCTGTTCTTCATGGACTTGATAAATGATTATAAATAGCCACTTAAATCATGTGAAAATTGTTTTATTTAGAATTTTTAAACTTGAAAATATAGAGCTAAAAGTTATGAGAAAAGAATCCAACTATTTTTGATTTTTCAATCATTTATTTCTCAAAGAAAAAGGACACAAAATTTTATTTGGTTTTCCTAAAGAACAAAAATTTGAATTGATGTGGCCTGATTATATTGATTTCAGTATTCAATATTTAGCGTTTAATATTTGGATCGTGTATTTGTAGAATTGAGATCAATCATCTATTTATTGAACTGAGATCAATCTTTTAAAGTCGAAAATGGAACAAATGACGCCCTGATAAAACTTACTATTTATACGATGGTGGGACTTTAAAGTTTAATGTTCAGATTTATAATCGAAAATCAAGTGTGTAACATTCTGGTAGAACTTATTAAATCCTATACTGATGTGAGGATGTTACTTTAAAGTTTAATGTTCAGATTTATAATCGAAAATCGAGTGTGTAACATTCTGTTAGAGCTTATTAAATCCTCTACTGATGTGAGGATGTGACTTTAAAGTGTAATGTCCAACCTCTCAAATCATTTAGATCAGAATGACTTCAGAGTTTATTTTAAGACAAATATCAATTGTGTTTGGATTGTCGATTAAACGTGTGGAAATATTTAATTAAAGTTGCCAAGTTGGAGATCAACTACATTATGTTACAAATTGGACGTGCGGAAAATCATGTGATTGGAAATACTTGTGTTTTGTTTTAATAAAGAAGAAAAAAAAAATGTGACAAATGAGAAGAATTCTTTGATTCCAAAATGGAAACCAAAGCGACTGTTCATCTTGTGCCATTTAAGACACTTGTTTTGATCAAGGATTATACAAAGCTACCGACTTAGTTAATTTGTGTTAATTGAATATTATTAATAGTTAAAATGGGCAGCATTGTTTCTAGTAATGGTAATAAAGTGCCATACGTCCTTGGTTTATCTTATACAAAAGGTAAGAGACTCTGTTCAACACATTCATTTTATTAAAGCTGATGATCATCATTTGCATTTTTTTCAAACTATATATAATTTTCTCATATCTTAATCCATGGTAAAATGTTTTGAAATGGATTATTTGACCAAAATATCAATAATAGATAAACTCACATCTTTTATTCAATTGAATTAAAAAGAGGATAGAAAATGTTGCGGAATTTTCAATGTATCATATCTTAGTAAATACCGAAACTCATCGAAATTGAACTATTTTTGGACTGATATTCGATTCAGAGATTCAACTTTCAAAATATTATAGTTAGAAAGGCTTCCACAATCCATGAAATGATGATCACCAACTTTACAGGATTTTTTTCATCAATAATTTTATCCTAGCTTATTTTTCAAACATGTTTAATCACAACGCAGAATATCACTCTGTTGCCTCCCGACCCCCTTTTTATTAAATTTTAAAGGATGTGTACATGCTCATGATTACATCTGCAATGCAGAAGAGGAGGAAGGTTTGATGGAAATTTACATACTCCTCAAATTCCAAACACCAAGGGATCTTTTACGTGTACCAACAATATATGTACACAGGTCCTTGTTATCCAGACGCATAGATGCACTTTCCTTGTTATCCAGACACATAGATGCACTTTCCTTGTCAGCTTCACACATACCACCCCTAACAAATAGGGAAAATTAGAGAGATCCTTCTTGACTTTCAACAGGATTCCAGTTTTGGGGGTGGGAAGGGAGAGGTGTTGATGGTCAAGTGGTCTAATGTGTGTGCTTTAAATAATAAGGTCTGTCATTAAGTTAAACATGCATTATGCAAGAGCAAAATCTGCTTATTACAAGTCTTTCTTTAGGCCTGAAATGTTATCTAAATTATCAATTAGACATTAATTAACTTATCCAGACCATAATAAACTCTCGATGTCAAGGCTAGCCTTCGATGTAGGCTGGATTAGATTCCTATATGCCGCTAACGGCCAAAGATAATTTAATCAGAAAAAGTGGATAATCGAGACTATGCTGTTTATATTAATGATTTTAGTAATGATAACCAAGACTATGCAAAAATTTCACCGGCTCACATATGCTCCTGAATTGACTAAGCTTTGTTGATTGAGGATTAATCTCTTTCTCCCTCTCTCTCTCTCTTTGAGTTCAGTGTCCTAAGCACACTGGCCTTGAATTAAAGGGTTTAGCACCTGTGTATAAAGGCATGTACATATATAGAATGTAGATTGTTATTATTTGGACCGTAAAATAGTATTTCTGTCAATATATTATTGATTGCTGTTTGAGTATATAATCCTATTACCCACGAATCTATTATTGTCTATAATGGAAAACATTAATCACTGAAAGGCTGTCGATCATGTAGTGGAATTCTTAAATTGATCTTAGTTAATAATTAAGAAGCTGCAAATAGAAAATATTAAAAGTCCTTTTATTTTTAGCAAGTAAACCATTAAGTATTTATTAATGTACATTGTACAAGTTTTAATGTTATAAATCAAAAGTACATGTATGTACCAAGATAAATGTTGTTAACGCTATTTTCAATTTGCTGCAGTCAATAGTATATATTGCTACAATGTAATAATGTAAGGGAATCTGCAGAATTTTCAAGACATTTTTTCCTTTTAAGGGGGGTGGGGGTGGGGTGGGGGCAAATGGTTAAAAACATGTGATTTAGATCATAAGGTCTGTCATTGAGTCAGTCAAGTGGCATGGTTTCGATTCCTAGCCTGTACACCTCCCACTGCTAAAGACCCATGTGCATGCCACTGTCTGGATGTTTGGCGGTTTGTTGCCTACAAATAGGTCCTGTAAGGGTCTGAAACTGTGTCAGGAATTATGTGATCGAAGAAAATAGTCAAATATGACACTAGAAAAACATTAAAATAAAGTGTAAGGTTGCATAAATACTCTCTAGGGAGATCTTAAAAGCAAACACAATCTTGCAATCCTACGTATCTGTCCTGAATAATTGAAACTAAAATATAATGATTAGGAATGGAGATGTGCTATTTTCCAAGGTACACGCATCATAATTAAAGTAAATGAATTTTTTGTGGGGTTTCAATATGATGTTGGAACTTCTCTGAAAGAAATAATTTGGTTTTTAATATGCCAACATTTTAATTTTGTGTTTATTGTGTCTGTCCATTGATCCTTTAATATTGCAGTTCAACAGCTACTTGGCATATTGTAGAATATTCAGAACTCCTTTAAGATGAAAGTTATCGTCTGATCTGTTTGGAATTGATATGTCTGCCAGTGTTTTCATAAATTAGCGAGACAATTAAAATAAAGAACCCGATCAAATTACAACAATATCTGATAAGAACTTATAAATAAACCTTGTAAACAAATCTTTAGACAAAAGTTGTCATCGGATTTGTTTTAATTTATTCAGCAATATTTACATTAGAGACCATTGACCTTATAATTAAATAAGATCCATGTTAGAGACATAGAGATGCCTATTAAATTTAACAAATGATTGTGAGCCTAATTTAGGGCTATACTATTTCAAAATTTTAACTGTTGTTCATTTTCGTACTCTTACATTGGTGGTATTATGCCTTTCACTTGTTCGTCCTTGACTTGTGAACATCATAGTGGCTACAGTGTTTAACAGATTTTTTTTCAAATTTGTTGTGCAGCATTGGAGTCATGAGGGAACAAACTTTTCGATATTCAGTGTTCCGCAACCTTAAATTCAGGAGTTAACTCCCAATTTTTCTAAAAACCTTGTTAACATAATAAAAACTACAGTTTTTAACAGATTTTATTCTGTTTGCTGTGAAGCATTAGGGTCATGAGCTATTCAAACAGCTTTTATTTTATCGAAATTTCTTTTTTGGTTAATGAAAATATAGGGCCAAAATGGCCATAGGAAGACCCTCCTGCAGTCAATCAGTCGTACGACAGGCATTAGAAAACACACTGAACTTGATAATTTTGAGTTGTATTACAATAACTTTTAAGTGGATAACAATAAATATTTCTCCCATTTATCTGTTTTAAACCATCTCTTGTAGCCCAACAGTGAACACAGCATCCTATCAGAAGTCCTCATATACTGGACACTTACTTAACCCCAGAGGTTTTCTCCTGGTCATCTGGTTTCCTCTCATGGCTGATGACCCCTATGCACAAGCCAATTATAAACTATTTATTATTCATCTTTTCAGTTTGTCGAGAACATCAGTTTAAGGATAAATATCTATTTTACCGATTTGAAGATGATGATGAAGGTATCGGAACAATCCCTACTACTATGGAGAAGAAAGAGAGTGAGGACCGTCTGCCAGATACGGTTCTTATGTTGGCTACCATTGGTCCAGATGCCATGATGAGAATGATTCTTAGAAAACCGTAAGTATTTATTATCTTTCACCCCCAAAATTTCTCGAAAATGAAATGAAATGGGTTTTAGTATCCTATTGTTCTGCATCAAACTGGCAAATGAAGATGGGTACACCATGCAGTGTGCTATGAGGGAAATTTTGCCTGGACGCAAACTTGTACAGGTGAGGACCTTGGTTTGTTGTCCTGTCCAAACTACTAGACACTGTTCCTTGCCAGGGCCTCCGTCCTGCACCACTGACAAGGGGAAACCACACCCTTCCATTCCTGGGGAGCCACGGTGGCTCATTGAGTAAGATGTTGGCTTACTAGCCTGGAGGTCCCTTGTTCAATCCCTACATTGGCTGAGAAAGTTCACTGTCTGGGCAAAATTTCCTTCATAGCACACTGTATGGCGTATGCCTGTCTTCATTAGCCCAGTCGGAGCAGAGCAGTAGGATGTTAAACCCCATTTCATTTACACTGCATGGTGTATACATGTACCTGTCTTCATTAGCCCAGTCGGAGCAGAACAGTAGGACGTTAAACACCATTTCATTTCCTTCCATTCCTGCTTTGTTTCCCTTTCATGATATCTTTAGGTAACCTATTAGGGCAATTGTTACCTTTGCTAATTAGATATTTCTCAGATTTACTCATTTTTGTATTTCCATGGAAGCAAATATTAAATGGTTTTTGGTATGCAAGGGTGTGGGATATTGTTATTATTTGGGAAGGTTGCAGTACACTGACAAAGACTAAGGAATAAAAAGAGGGAGAATGCTCACTAGTCTGTAGGTTCAGTTTGGATTAGAGATATGAATATGGTGGTGTTTCAACTGTCTCTTGACTTTTTTTTACCATGATCACAGACCCTAAACAGTTTTTTTGATGCCTATGTATTAGTACTCTATATAGTGGCATACTAGTGAACTCTCTAACCAGTTAACTATTAGATCTTAATCGATCTCTACCACCCACTTCCAATTCTAAGAGTAGCAATGCTAATAGTAAGTGCAGGAGAACCACACTACATGCAAAACAAAACCGATAAAACAAACCTGCGGACAAGACGAAATACACACACTGTAAACTGGATATTATTTAATCTTGTGTATTTAGCTCTAATTTCTTTCACATTCATTCAATATCAAATCTTTATTTAAAAATTCTTAAAATTGTTTAAAATCACCAAAAATGATCTAATTTGTACTTGTGTCCCGTTTAAAGCTGGCCATTCAATTTTGATAATGAGTGTCCAATTTACAAGCGTAATTTCTGGGTCGCTGTTAAAAACCTAATTGATTATTGATGTATGGTGATTAATTTTTAAACAGTGTTCAGGAAATTAAATACTTGTAAATTGGACACTCATTATCAAAATTAATCAGTCAACTTTAAACTGGACACAAGTCCAAATTAGATGATTTCGGGGGATTTTAAATGATATATACGAATTTTGAAACAAAGATTTGATGTTAAACAAATGTGAAAGAAATCAGTGCTTGATACCTGGGTTACAGTGATACAGATATTGGAGGAAATAAACAAAAAATAACAAGTTACTCTATTTAAGGGCATACTGAATCCATTTCACAAAGACATAGCTTTATCGTTATTATGTTTCAGATTCCCTTGTGTGTGGGTAATATGTAGAGTCTAATCACTTTTACATTGATTTTCTAAAATCTCCATCATTATTTCAATTAAAGAGAGTAAAAGTGTTGTCGACCTCATCGCTTGGTGGAGATGCTGAAGAAATTAAATAACCTTTGGGATTTATTTTTGCAGTCCTCTTGAAAGAACCACGGAAGATTTGGAAATAGTTTATGAAGAATTACTTCATATCAAGGCTTTATCTCATCTCTCAACTATGGTGAAAAGAGAATTGGCTAGTGTTTTGATATTTGAATCTCATGCAGAAGCTGGGACTGTATGTAAGTAACTGTCACAATGTATAAAAATAAACTACAACACATACTTATAGAAGAACGGTAGCCGCTGTGGCTCAGTGAGTAAGACGTTGACTCGCTAATCAGGTGGTCTTGCGTACACATCGGCATGCACGTAAAAGAACCCTTGATTGTTGGAATTTGAAATATGAGTACCGGTAGGCCATAAAGCCACTGTCCTTGCAAAATTTCTCCCATAGCACACACTGTATGGTGTATGCCCGTCTTCATTAGCCCAGTTGGTGCAGAAAAGTAGGACGTTAAACACCATTTCATTTCATTTCTTGTGGAAGAACAATTATTTGGGCAACGGTTTATTAAGAATATTCTCTAACTTGCTTGAAAACATTGAGGAAATACTCGACGAAACTTCTCCCAAATGAATTATTTTCTTCATGTGTTATAGTTTATTGCTCTATCCAGTTACTAAATGCCTCTACAAAATTAATAATAGACACAAAACAGCAACCCAAATTTAGTAACTGATATTACAACATTTCCTTCCTTCCTTACAGACTGCAATAGTTTTCTAGCCCCATTGTTACTTTTAATAGGAAACAGCTGCGAGGGCGGAGTGGGTGTTTGTCTAACGTCATCTTGTGACAATAGCATTTCAAAATCTACTCAAATGTGTCACTACATGTATAACAAGACAATGTGACCATATGTTAGTCTTAGAATTACCTAGGTGAATTGTAGACAAGATTTAAACCCCAGTCAGATATTCACCTATTGTGTTCTTGTTTTATTCATATTTGGGGAGGGGGGGGGGACATTGCATCAAAAGGTCTGTCGTTGGTTTTGATTCTCTGCTTGTCGGGGGGTGGGGGGGGCTTGTCCAACCTCATGGGTTTTCTCTGGGTAGTCTGGTTTTCTCACACTGCTAGAGACCCCTACTCGAAAGCGAATTATTGAAATAAAATTGAACCATATGTTAGTCCCACAATGACCTAGTTTGTGTTGAGGAGATGTTAAACCTCTTTCTCTCACTGCTAAAGATCCCTCATTGAAAGCGAATTATTGAAATGAAATTGAACCATAAGTTAGTGTTGAGGGGAAGCTCAAGGTGCTCAAAGAATGAGGCTAGACATATTCCACAAGTCATGTCAAACGGTGATATCATATTCGTATTTGGAGAGCATGCGCAATAAATAATATCGGTGTTGACTGGAATAACCAGACGCTAGAAACTGACTTGCGGTTGAGACTTCTGGCGTATTTCGCCGAACATAACTGATGACAATTCACAGTAAAACGGACATGATTGAATGTAAAACAGTTTATATAAATTCATATTACATTATTATATGTGTTGCGACCCATTTGTGCCAATTTCTAGGTCCAAAATATTAGCGATTTAGCTCCTTTAAATTTACAAATTTTGATTTTATTGAATTTTTTGTTTCATGCTAATATGAAATTGTTTGGAAATTGAAACTGGGGTACATGTAGGCTACAGAAAATAAAATATTATAATATAAAGGAGAAGCAGATATTAACCTGGCCAAACTCATTGAATTTGATCATGTTGCAGTAACCGAGTTAATGACATTACATGCATGGTGGTATCAGGTAAATTGGACCAGGACAGTATATATCATGTTTGTCTAATCTTTATTGAATTTCAACTTTCTAGTTTTGCGTTTCATCTGAGCAACTAGATAGTGTTCCTTGTCAGACCCTCCTCCTGTAAAATTGACAAGAAAAACACTGCGATAAAAAATCCAAGTAAACTTTATCGGCCATATTGTGCCACTGCATTAATTGTATACTTAACCTTATTTGTGAAACATATTTTGATATTTCAGTATTTAATCAAGGTGACGTAGGCAAGTCATGGTATATTATATTAAAGGGATCTGTTAATGTTGTTATTTATGGCAAGGTAAGAGTTCCAGCTGCACAGTTTTTTTGTCATACACATTTGATACATATTATTTTTCCCCACAAGAAAATATTATTATTAGTCCAACAAATGATGATCTATGATTTTCTGATAAAATATTATTATTATTAGTCAAAAATAACTGATTATCCATGATTTTCTGATAAAAATAAGAATGAAAAAAATGATTAAACATCAATTTAAATCAAATTAAATTAAAAAGAAAATGTTATAGTTACACCTGGCGCATTATATGTCCAGCAGGACACTGTGATGTATATCCACAGATACAGATAGGCCTACTTGGATATCTCAGAATTAGAAATTCACTTAAGTTTGTTAGTTATGTATCATCACACTATAAGATAATATACTATATAGGTTGTTATATACTTATACCGGGTGGTGTAAATAACTAATACATTATTCTAAGTATACTAGGGACTATGTTTGAATATACATTAGTATATTATATGTAGATATCCGTATTACTTATTCTATAGCATGGATAGTGTTTGTATTAGTACGGCATACATGTATCTATGCACAAAGAACCAAATGTGACATCATTGTAGCCATCATGCACTTGTAACTGTCATATCAAAAATTAAAATTTGTCAAATGATGCACAATTTTCATGTGATGCCAATCGTACTGAAATTGACAGAGCCTCAAGCTTTTTTGAAGAATGTCCCTCCCAAGAAGAACAAGAGGAGTATCATTCGGGGATGAGTTCCTGGTTTTGGTACCTGTACAATGATAATAATAATTGTTGCATTTATAGAGTGCAACATTTCAGTCCGAAGTCGGCTCTGTGCGCACGTGAGAAATGTCCTAACAGTGGCTACACTCTTCTTGAAAAGTGTGTCTTAAGCAATGTCTTGAAATTCTGTAGGGTTTTAGCTGATTTTATATTCTCCTATAGGTTTTTCCATAAGGCAGCAGAATTATAAGCAATGGATCAATTGCCAAATGTTGATGTGTAAAGCAGCAGAATTATAAGCAATTGATTGATTGCCAAATGTTGATGTGATGTAATACTATAGGACTTCTTCTTGTTGTGCTTACTTTCTGATGATCTTTAATAAGACTACAGCATAAAATAGTTTCACAACTTTATTTCTAAGTTGTACTGGCTTTGCAGGTTCCTCGTTCTCAATGATAATGGCTGGTAGGAATTTCTGGGTGAGCTCTAATCCAAATCTCCTCTACACCCTAATTTATACCCCCTGATTTCTGCAGGTCTTCGATAACTTTGACATTAATTTCCACGCCATATAAGGAATAAAAATCTTTATTTCCCACAAATAAGATAGGAAACATTAACTATTTTTGGTCTATCAACCATAGGTCAATAAACAGCCAGATTTTGATGACTATTTTGACAATGATTATAATTTGACCAAAATATCACTGTTTTTTACGAAAACTATACCCACGTTCATTAAGTACGTGAGATTTGACTTTATAGACAAAATTGAAGAGACAATTTTATAAAGACCCCAAATTGTCTCAAGGGCTACAGTGATAGCAGATGAACATAGTAAATGATTTTATTTTAGTTTGTCTGCTCAACAAGTTTTTTTATTTTGAAATAGCTCTAGATATATTTTGTATGAATATTTCATTGTAGGGTATTGTTTGTACATTACATGATGGAGATGATTTTGGTAAATTAGCACTTGTTAATGATGCTCCCAGGTAAATATAGAATATCTTAATTTTTGATTCTTTATACATGTAAGTAATTATTGACATATTGTCCTTGTTTTCATGAATGATATTTAAATATTGATAACTTTAGTTTCATTTTCAAAAGTGACTCCAAATTGAATCCATGGTTGACCATATTTAAATTTTGCTATGAGCACTTGGATTTATTTATTACCCGAATTCATATCTAATAAAGGGTTATAATTTGTTTTTCAGAGCTGCAACTATAGTTTTAAGGGAAGATAACTGTCACTTCCTTCGTGTAGATAAAGATGATTTTAATAGAATTTTAAGGGTAAGAATTAAACCTTTGTTATAAAAATATCCATGAACAATAAAGAAAATGCTATGATATATAACAATAGGGACCATACAAAGTAATAGAGAAATGGGTAATGGAGGCGGGAGGGGGGGGACAAACAAATATTGGGCAACCGAACAAATATTGGGTATCTTAGAATATATTAAGAAGGTGTTGACCATAACATGTGAAGAGATGGGAACCATAGAAGATGATTGTAGGGACAAAAGCAGATGATGGGGGAGAAAACAAAAACAAAACAGATGACTGTTGGGATAAAAATAAATGATGGTGTAGACCATAAGATATAATGATGATGGGGACTATAGCAGGATTGTGTGGACAAAAACAGATGATGGTGGGGAAAAAAAGATGCGGGTTGGGACTGAAAATATATGTGGGTTGGGACTGAAACAGATGATGATTGAGAATGAAACAGGTGATGGTGCTGACCATAATAGGTGGAGATGAGGACTAAAATAGATGAAGATGACTAAAACTTGATGATGGAGACCAAAGTATATGATGGTTGGGACCACACATATAATGGAGGGGATGGAGACCAAAGCAGATGATATTGGGGACCAAACATATGACGGTGGGGAAAAAACAGATGACGGTGGAGAAAAAAACAGATCAAAGCAGATGATATTGGGGACCAAACATATGATGGTGGGGACAAAAAAGATGATATTGGGCCCAAACAGATGATGGGGGGGAAACAGATGATGATGGAGACCAAAGCAGATGATATTGGAGACAAAACAGATTGTAACAGATATTGGTCGGGACAAGCACAGATTGTAAGGGTCCAAGATCAGTGAATCTTCTCTTTAACTTCATATTTATGTCTATACTCAAATACATTATGGGATGTAGAAACTAATACTATTGATTAATCACCTTTATTATAGGATGTTGAAGCCAATACTGTACGATTAAAAGAACATGGCCAAGATGTGCTGGTGTTGGAGAAAATACCTACTAATATCAAGTCTCAAGATGGGTCAGTGCAATCACATTACAAGTAAGTATATTTAAATAAAGAGAGTTTGGCAGGCCTACAGGAGGATATAAACAAATCACATTTCTACTAATCAATAAATAATCATGCCAGTAATTGAGGATGCTAGTGCAATAAGGTGGACAATTGCCATTTCACAAAATAGTAGTTTTGCATATTTCTAGACCAGGATGCTAAAATTGACATATACTGTGATAGAAATGATAAAATAATAAAAAAGAACAAGTTTTTAAGAAAATCTGCTAAAAATAGATTTATTTGAAAAAGTCAAATGATCTTATTCAAAAACAACGGCACTTGTACACCTTATGGCACTAGCATCCTCAGTTCATAGATGCTTTAAGATTCAACTTTATTACTTGCATTGCACTGGTAGAACCCTAAACCAGAAATAGTATAATTCTGAATTTGAAAGTAGCATTTTTATTATTGCATTGCACTGGTAGAACCCTAAACCAGAAGTAGTATAATTCTGAATCTGGAAGTAGCATTGCAACACCACCGGGCCATCAACTAGAATGCCCTGGGTTAAAATCCAAGTATCAGCTGATACCCGGTTTACAATTGTCAGGGGTAGTGCCAGTGGCGCTCACAAATGCGTTATTACCAAAAACAGGTCCATCGGTGTCCACATGGGTATGCACGTAAAAGAACCCTTGACGGTTAAAATCCAATGAAGAGCTAAATTCTGGCTAAAATTCTTCTCCCAAGCATTGTATGCGTGAACATGAATAAAATAACCATATGTTAGTCTCAAAGTATTGTGTTGACGAGATGTTAAAGGGCAGGATGACTGCACCACACACAAACAAATACACAAGACAAATCTACGGACAAGACACAATATACAGATAAGACAAAAAACAAACATACATATCAGATCAGATCAAGTGAATGGATCCGGGGGCTAGCCGTAAGCTTCACTGCGCTGTACAGTTCCGGGCCTGTAGTGATACAGACTTTACTCAGAATGAAAAACAAACTAATATCAGCTTTATTTATATTTTATTCAGGTATTCTGTTATGGCTGGGACACCTGAGAAAATGTTAGAACATCTTTTAGAAACTAGATTAGATAATAAACAAGATGAAAACTCGGGTGAGTAACTTGATAATATTATTTTGTAACCAAGGCCCTGATGTCCATACTCGGCCATCCAGCGTATCAATTTAGTCATTTTCAATTTTTGTTATTAAACACTGACTGTTTATAACCCGGTGTTGTATGGATAGAGTCCTTTGAGGCTACTTAAGTAGCATAACTCTGAGGTACTGCTACACCACCAGACCCATGTCACTCCAGACTCGAGCTACCTTCCTACCCCAAATATTAGCCTCCAAGCAGCCTTAGTGTGACCGCCATCCCCAGACAAATGATAGTCACAAATATATATGTATAGATTTAATGGATTTTAGTGAAATTTTGTAGTTCAGTTACTATGGTTGCGTTCTTTCAGATTTGATCACTTGATGTTGATTAACCCCTTAGCAGCTGGCCAGGGTATCTTTAATACCAAAATTTGGGTACTTTAAACAAAAGATCAGTCTTCAGTATCTGAAATGATTTCTTTTCCACTTTCAGATCAGTTTTTAGAAGATTTTTTACTAACACAAGTAATATTTATGCCAAATGAAAGACTGTGTAAAGCTCTGATGAATCAATATCCTTTTTTAATGATAATAATAATCATCAAAAGATCTTGACCTTATTTTTTTAAAGTAAATATTACCATTACAGAAGTTACCACAAAAGATATTGACTTTCGATAATGATAATATGTTTTCATTAATATCACAACATGGTTGATCATCCACTTCACATTAAAAAGTAAAAAATATGTTTTAATGTTTGTGGCTTCATTTATATTTTATACTTAAATTTTCACTCATAGCTCATTTGGATCTAAATGATTTTAAACAGGCCTTTAGCTCTTTATTGAAACATTATTCATAACTGTTCTGACTTTAATTGTCTAGTACTTTTATTTCTAAAGTGGCCCTTTTACAACTGATTTGGAGCCAATTTCAACAAAATAAATCCTAGCAGATACAACCATCTTAATATCAGCTTTACTTAATAAGAAATAAAAAAACACAAGAATGTTGTCCACAATTCGAAAACGGATTAATAGATTCTCTTAAACTTATATGTTCCTTAATACAATGCTACCTATCATGCGGAGGTTACACAAGGTACAGATAGAGAAATAGCTGATTATATGTTGACTCACAAGAGAAGAATCGTCCATTTTGTTCAAGAATGGTACAGCGTGACAACTGATGCATTCCAAGAAGACCCTAAAATACAAGGATTTGTCGAGGTAAGTCTTTGATTAACAAATTACTACAGTTTGTTTTAGACACTTCATTGAAATGGACTCTTTCTCTTAAATCAACAGGTCATGTCAGAAACTGATGGTTTGAGATGTCAATCATAATGACAAATGATGAGATGACTAATATTTTCATAAACTCAAGGACCGTCTAAAATCTAGATTGGCACTTACTGCAAGGTCATCGAATAAAATGCTGGGCACGCTGGGCTGTTGCTCGGGAGCCCCAAACTGATCTATATATATTGTGACTTAGTGTTTAAAAAAAACACTGGTTCTGTTGGAAGTATCAATACAATAAATATATATTTAATTGTATTGATCATTTACATTTCTATTCCTATGAGTGATTGTGTTGGTAGTGGTCCCAGTGCACTGTTTTTGCCCGGGGGTCTATAAGGCTGATAAGACAGCCCTGACTTAGCTCACATATGATTATTAACTTTGTCTTTATAGGAACTTCATGTAGCAATCAAGGAAGACTCCGATCTCTATCCTACCTTAAAAAATGATGAGAAAACTATTATTAGTATTATGCAATCAAAGTCAAGGTAACAAACTATCATTAGTATTGTGCAATCAAAATTAAGGTTATAAATTATAATTATAATCATGCAATCGCGGCCAATGTAACAAATTATGCACCTTGCTAGATTCAAAACCAAATATACATAGGTTATAGATATAGATTGCACTGTTGCTCATATCGCCTGTTATGTATGCATACATGGTTATATACCAGGCTTGTGTGTGACAAAGCGTAGGTTTGTTTGTCTAACCACATGGTTTTTTTCCAGGTCTTCTGAACTCCTACTTTTTATAACCCTGTGTGTAGTGTTTACGATGATGCTGCCAGTGGACGTGTGTTGCCTGGCAATAGGTTAATTAATAAGACTTTAGGGAGCCGTTGTGGCTCCATGAGTAAGTTGATGGCTTGCTAACCAGGAGGTCCCAGGTTAGCTCCTGGTGTTTGTCGCGAAAGTTCCTCAGGATTTTCTTGTACAGTTTCCCTTTGTCAGTGGTGTAGGACAAAGCAGTGTCTAGTCATTCGAAGGTCCTGTGTACACATTGGTGTGCACGTAAAAGAACCCTTGACAGTTGTAATTTGAAATAAAAGCACACTGTATGTCATATATCCTTCGGTGCAGAAAAGTAGGACGTTAAACCCAATTTATTTTCATACCTTTAATTAAATTAAATATATCAATCGCTGTATTATAATATTATTTTATTTTATCAGCTCTCCATCAGCTGCCAAAACGGCCAAGAAAAAAATCCATCCATCTTTAATACTAAGTCGAAAGACATCCAGAGATCACATGGCAGACGGAATGAAGAAAAGACGACCAATTAAACCAACAGATGAAAGTAAGATCATATTTTTTATTGAATTTCCTTTTCTTTCTCTGACCCTTCGATATGAAATTCATATTGAATGGGGGGGGGGGGACTGTCGTCTTAGTGAAGCGAAAGTGTGGTCCTAAGAGTTTGCCCTGATAACAATTTTTAATCTAAAATATGTATATTTGCAAAATATTGGAGGACCATCCCATCTTGAGGTGCAGAATAGGAAAAATTCTCCAGGGACCTGTTTCACGAAGCATATGCAAATTTGCGTGAACGTGAGCTCAACATGATTTACCGGAGTTAACCAGTGTGATCCAGGATTTTCTCCCCCTTGCCTACTTAATCACACTGGGTGACTAAATGGTTGTTTGAAATATGCACTTTAGATCATAATTAAGGCTTGACATTGAGTAAAGTTTCATGGTTTCAATTTCCAGCTTGTAGCCTATTAGACAAGGAGTAGGGTTGCCTATCCAACCTTGTTGGTTTTCTTCAAGTCCTCCGGTTTCTTCCCTCTGCAAGTCAGCCCTGCGCGCAAGCCAGTTATTGAAATAAAATCTAACCATATGTTAGACTCGAAATGACCTAGTTTGTGTTGAGTGGACTTTAAACCCCATTTCTCTCTCTCTCTCTTAACCACAATATTTGTTAGTTTTAAAATTAACTAAGTTAAAGTTTATTCCATTGTTTATTCTTTCTGTTAGATATTATCAAAGTTTACTGTGCTGACCATACCTACACTACATTAAAGTTTACCATGGATACGACGGTAACAGAAATTGTTTACCAAGCTAAAGATAAACTATCCCTTGGTGATGACCTTATCATATGTGAGGTCAAATCAAATGGAGGTGAGTAACCTGGTACATTTAGTTAAGATTATTATTGTGGATATTAATCACCATGGATCTTCAAATTTATATTTATGACTAAATATTGTGGTCCGAATCCGTCTGCTTAAATAATTATAAGAGTTAGCCCCCTTTATTTTTGGTAAAAATGTCCAAAAAGAAAAATTTGGAAATAGCAACACTGCTGTATAAGTAATATTTTTAGGAATTATAGTAACTACATTTAGCATAATCTCATAGCTTGGATTATTGTATGTCCTGTACATATGTCAAACTGTTAGCAAATGCAATTCTGAAAACGATCATACAGGCCGTGTTTCAAAAAGGACATCAATCTTTTGTGCATTGAGAGTGATGGAAAAAGTTACAAATTTTTATTCACTTAAATAACACGAACCTCTATTTCACTAGGGTGTTTATGGTATGTGTATAGGTAGAGAGCCCAACGCAACCAGAAAAAGGTTCTAATGTTGGTATTCATGGGGTAACTTGGACTCATTAGTCATTTAATTTGGGAATCTGGGATATGTGAGTTTTAAAAACATGTGTGTTACTGGATGAACTGAGCAAATACCAAAATCAAAAATTCATTTGTTCACCGAAAAAGTACAGGGGCGTTATTCACATAAACCTCAACCAAAATGTGATAGGAATGCAGGCTTTTCAGTGGCTAAGAGCTAAAATTGGTATTAGGATATTAACTCTCAACCAATGAAAAGGCCACATCCTGGAAATATGTTAGTGTAAGTTTTTGTGAATACGACCCCCGATTGTCTTTATTGGAAATTTTAGGGATTTGAAAAGTTAGTAACTATGCCACTGTGGCAGCTGTAAATTTGAATTGCCCACAGTATGAGATCTGGCTGTGACCTTCACCTATTTATTTATTTATCAATACAACTGTATTGATTGCTTACAATATTAGCAGGCCCAGGGTTTTGGTTGGTTGAGTGATCTCACAGGTGCACTTTAGATCATGAAATCTGTCATTGAGTCAAGTGACATGGTTTCAATCCAAAGCTTGTACGTGACCAGGAGTAGGGTCACTGAACCTTGTGGGTTTTCTCGAGGTCCCCTAAGCACAAGCAAACTATTTTAAAGAGTTGTACCTTATGTTAGTCCCAAAATAACCTAGTTTGTGTTGATTAGACGTTAAACACCATTTTTCTCTAGCTCAGTCCGGCCCCAATCGTAACTTGCTGCATGCCTTGGTGCCAAGAAACCAGTATTTAAGCCCTAAAATGTTAAGAAACTCGAAATGTCTAAGGGTGGAAGCTCATTTCCGTCCTTTTCTACTACATATCGTACAGTCTTTGAAGATAATAACTTGTATGTTATAACCGGTCTTAGTTTAAAGGGTTGAAGCTCATTTCCCTTTTTATACGTCCACATTCATAATGTGAACGTATTATGCCGTCGCCCCTGTCTGTGTGTGTGTGTGTGTGTATGTATGTATGTATGTGTGTGTGTGTGTGTGTGTGTGTGTGTGTGTCTGTGGTTCGCCTACAGGGCGCAATTCTTCATGGATTTTCTTCAAACTTGGTATACTTATTCCTTATACCCCAAGGAAGATCCCTATTGTTTTTGGTGCATGCCCGACCCCCCGGGGCAGAGCCACGCCCATTTCTAGTATTTGTTTGTTTGTCGTCTACAGGCCACATTTCTTAACTAATAATCTTGAAACTTTGCATACACATTCTTTGTACCCTAAGGAACATCCCTATCGTTTGGGGTGCATGCCCAACCCCCAGGGGCAGAGCCACGCCCATTTTCTTTTCGTGTGTCTTTGTGTCGCCTACAGGGCGCAATTCTTACTGGATTTTCTTCAAACTTGGTATACTTATTCCTTATACCCCAAGGAAGATCCCTATTGTTTTTGGTGCATGCCCGACCCCCAGGGGCAGAGCCACGCCCATTTCTAGTTATTCTTTAAGTGGCATTTAGCGATCAGGGAACAAATTAACAGAACACAGTTTTTATGGGATACAATCACTAGTTTATTCTAAAAGCACGACGTTTCCACAAGTATTCTCTTATCGTTATCAATCAAGCAAAAAAAAACAAAAAAAAAACGTCATGCTTTTAGAATAAAGACATCGATTGTTTTAAAATAAAAATTGTGTTCTGTTAATGTGAACGAAATGTTATACTGATAGCAGTCCTACAACCCAGTTTTATTTCACAGACCCTCAATGCAAACTGGACCATATCAAACAAAACAGGAATGTGGACGTATATTGCTGCGTTAGCGATGCTCTTGTTATCTATTACAACCGGCCTTAGTTTAAAGGGTTGCAGCTCATTTATGTCCTTTTGTATTACAGATCGTATAGTTTTTAAAGAGAATAACTTGTGTGTTACAACCGGTCTTAGTTTAAATGGAAGATTATTTATTACTCCTAGAGAACACCTTGATGCCTTGGTGAGTAATGTTTTCATTTAGAGAAAGTAATAGATATGTTCTGAAAATATATGATAAAAAATGGTACATACTTTTACACTGGGAGCGGCCATTTTGTCGGGCAGTTTTGGTTTGATTCTCATGAAATTCAAACTCACCCATCATTAGAGTGTAATGATAATATATTTGAACGTTTTTTAAACTTAGATAAAAATTGCAACCTTTAGTGGGAGAACATTCTGGGCGCTAGCTTGCATGGCAAACTTTGTTAACTTTTATAGCGAGAATGTTGGCAGCCCTTTATCTTAATCACCTAATGGTCCTTAAATTACTTGCACAGGGGATTGATACTATTAATCATTTTTTAAATATGTGTTAATATATTTCTAAGAATAAAGTACTGATGTATGTTAACTATGATAAAAGTAAAAAAAAATTAAAATTATTTTTGCAGACACCATTACCAGAACAAGATGGCCCTACAAGTATGACGGCTGTTGCTATAGAGATGATGAGTACAAAGGAATTAGCCTATCAGATAACTCTTTATGATTGGGAACTATTTACTTCCTTACATGAGGTAGGACTTTAATGCATAATAGATTTCTTGGATGGCTTTTCAGAGGATACTGTGGAACAAAAGCACTAAGATTCAAATGTTTTAAAGATCTTACTTTATAGTGATAAGATCTTTCTTGAGTCATTTTCTTTCAATTTAAGGGGATTGGGTGGCCAAATAATTAATGTGTGCGCATTGGATCAAAGTCAAGTATCGTGTTTTCGATTCCCCACTTGTATGTGACAAGGAGTAGGGTCGCCTGTCCATCCTTATGGGTTTTCTCTCGGTCCTCCGGTTTCCTCCCACTGCTAAAGCCCCTACCCGCAAGTGAATTATTGAAATAGAATTAAACCATATGTTAGTCCCAAAATGACCTAGTTTATGTCGAGTGGACGTTAAACCCCATTTTTCTCTCTCTTTCAGTTTGAGTTGATATACTGGGTGTTTGGTCGTCATAAATTCAAGAAAATAACAGCGAACCTAGATATCTTTCTTAGGAGATTTAATGAAATACAGTATTGGGTAGCTACAGAAATGGTTTTATGTTCCAATGTTAGCAAGAGAGTCCAACTACTTAAAAAGTTTATCAAATTAGCTGCCATGTAAGTACCCGTACCTTCTTGTGTTCTTGGAGATGCCTGCATGGAAAGAATTTGAACCAGCGGCTGCCAGGCAGGATATGCCAACATTTTCGAGAGATGGATAGAGAACAAGCAAAAAAGAAAGTGATTTTTCGTACAATCAAGGGCCATAATTCAGAAAATTACAATTCGATATGCGCGAATATCGAAAGGAACCGAGATCTTTGGGTTATAAACTCACATTTCAAGTTTCAACAAAATCGGATAAAAATTATGACCTCTATAGGGTCCACAACCTTGATATACCATATTTTTACGCTATTTGGGAACGAACGGCAGCCATTTTGTCTGTCAGTTTTGGGCCGATTTTCATGAAATTCGAACTCAGCCGTCCATAGGGTGTAACGGTGATATAATAATACGTTTTTTTAAATCGGATAAAATTATGACCTATAGGGTCCACAAGCTAAAAACGCGATTTTTCGTACAATCAGGGGCCATAATTCAGGAAGTTACGGTCTGATATGCGCGAATATCGAAAGGAACCGAGATCTTTGGGTTATAAGCATACATTTCAAGTTTAAACCAAATCGGATAAAAATAGTGACATCTATAGTGTTCACAAGCTAAAAACTTGATTTTTCGTACAATCAGGGGCCATATTCCATGAAGTTACAGTCCGATACATGCCAATATCGAAAGGAACCGAGATCTTTGGGTGATAAACCTATATTTCAAGTTTCATTGAAATCGGATAAAAATTGTGACCTGTAGACTGTTCACAAACAATTGTGGACGGACAGGGGCGACGACAATATACGTCCACATGAAAATGTGGGCGTATAAAAAGGCACATTCATGATATGATGACTGTGGATGTCAACAGAGAGGGCGACCTTCGGTTGGACAGATTTTCGCACTATAGTTCAACCTGTGGTCGTGACCAACCATACCATACGATAGAGAACCATAGTCTACATCCAAAGGTCGCCTGGTCTAACAGTCGATAGGCTCACTTTATATTTTAGCTATAAATCAATTGTGTTGTATTTTAGCTGTAAATCAATTGTGTTGTATTTTAGCTAATTGTATTTTAGCTGTGAATCAATTGTGTTGTATTTTAGCTGTGAATCAATTGTGTTGTATTTTAGCTATGAATAAGTTGTGTTATTTGTTTCAGTTGTAAAGAAACTAAGAATTTACATTCCTTCTTTGCCATTGTGATGGGTTTAAGTAATATAGCTGTTAGTCGACTGTCTCAAACCTGGGAGGTAAGTAAAACAATACTTTTTTATATATATAAGATTTATATTTGTGTCCAATACAGTATTTCATTTTGATGGCTTCTGTCAGGTTTCCCCCCTTGTCATGGGTGAGCAGAGGTGGAAACTCAAGTTCTGCAACTCCTACTCGAGTCTGACTTAAATCGCATCAATAACCCGACTCCACTTGAAACATTTATTGCAACCTGAGACTCGACTTGGACTTCGCAATTGTGATAAGGGGGCATAACTCTAACTTACCTTATTCATCATGAATTGCTGACTCATTTAATTGATGAACTGGTGACTTGAACAGGACTTGGGCTTTGTGAAGACTTGGGACTCGACTCGGTTCTAAAGTCTGGGAAGGGAAAAGTGTCTAGTCACTGAGTTACACACACCTGTGTACTTGTTGGGCATTGGAAGGGTTCGTCGAAACTTTGCTGCCCAAGTAAAATTTCCTCATAGCACACAGCATGACATATGTCTGTCTTCATTTATTGTCCCCCGCCTTTAGAAGAAAGCAGGGGACTATTAAAATGGGTTCATCCATCCGTCTGTCCGTCTGTCCGTCTGTCTGTCTGTCACACTTTTTGGGACACAATAACTCTCCTTCTAATTGACCTAGAATGTTCAAACTTGGTGTAGGTGTTTATTAGGTCGGCTTAGAGTAAGCAGAGATAAGCAATTTGATTGGTTGATGCTTTGGGACACGATAACTTTAGCTCTAATTAAGTCAGAGAGATGAAACTTGGTGTATAGTTTCATTACATCAATACCTTGACTAAGTTCGATAATGAGCAATTTCTGCTCGGGTAAGCAGAGCGATAAGCAATTTGATTGGCCGAGACTTTGGAACACAATACCTTCCCTTCTAATTGAGCTAGAATGTTCAAACTTGGTGTAGGGGTTTATGAGGTCAATGCCTTGATGGAGTGCCAAGATGAGCATTTTCTGCTTGGGGTAAGCAGAGATAAGCAATTTGATTGGTTGATGCTTTGGAACACGATAACTTTAGTTCTAATTAAGTGAGAGTGATGAAACTTGGTGTATAGCTTCATTACATCTATACCTTGACTAAGTTCGATGATGAGAATTTTCTGCTTAAGCTAAGGAGCAATAAGCATTTTGATTGTTCAAGACTTTGGAACATAACAACTCTTCTTCTAATTGAGGTAGAATGTTTAAACTTGATGTAGATGTTCATTAGGTGAATGTCTTGACTGAGTTCAATGATTAACATATCGAGCTAAAGCTAAGCAGTAATAAGCAATTTCCTTGGTCGATGCTTTGGGACAAGATAACTTTAATTCTATCTGATAGAGAGTGATGAAACTTAGTGTATAGTTGATAATCAGTTTGATTGCTTGATACTTTGGAAAAAAATAGATGTGCGATTAATTAATATGTGTCATCTATTTATTTGGGGATTTCGGCGGGGGACATCAGCCTCACTGTTGGCTTGTTAGTCTGATTATGAGAGGTTTGTATGACTGACTTGTATGTTAAAGTTAAGCTATTAAATATTTAACTTTTCATTTATCTTGATTTCAGAAATTACCAGGGAAATTTAACAAGTTATTTTCTGAGTTTGAAACAGTGATGGATCCATCTAGAAATCATCGGGTTTATCGACTCACTGTTGCCAAAATGAATCCACCCATTCTTCCATTCATGCCTTTATTAATGAAAGGTAAGTCTAACATTTGTTACAGATTCATTTTTTGAGGGTTGCCCCAAGAGCGTAAGTTATTTGATCCCTGTGATGACTCCGGAAGTTCCTCGGTGTTTTCCTATGTGGTTTCCCCTGGTTTACACGTAAAAGAAAAGAACCCTTGACAGTTAGAATTCAAAGTAAAAGTAGGTCATGGTACCACTGTCTGGGCAAAATTTTCCTTATAGCAAGAATGTAGGTGAAATGAAATGAAATGGAGTTTAACGTCCTACTGTTCTGCTCCTAACCTGGGCTAATGAAGACGGGCATACGCCATACAGTGTGCTATGAGGGAAATTTTGCCCGGACAGCGGCACTACGGCCTACTCTTATATCGAATTCCAACTGCCAAGGGATCTTTTACGTGCACGCCAATGTGTACACGGGACCTCGGTTTTTCGTCCCATCCGAACGACTAGACAGCTTTCCTTGTCAGGCCCTCCGTCCTGCATCACTGACAAGGGGAAACCACGCCGGAAAATCTGGATGAACTTTCTCGGCCAATGCAGGGATCGAACCAAGAATGTAGGATGTTCATTTTATAACTTTTTCAAAAACAGATTTCTGGTGGGGTGGGTGTGGGGGGGGGGGGGAGGGGTATAGGCCCCTGTGTCTGTCCATCCATTGTTTACATTACTTGTTAGAACAGTATAGGCTATATCCACATTGAATAAAGAATCTTATTGATTTTCAACGAATTTCAATAAAAAGAAAATTCCTCAGTTAGTCTCTCCATTATTGTAAAATCTTGTTAGCGCCTTCTTATAAGAGGCTTCATTTATATTGTTTAAGTGGCATTTAGTAACTGGATGAGAATAACACATGACACAATTATATGAAATACAAGTAAATTGTATTCCATATAATTGTATCATGTGTTAGGATTCATTTATGATCCAGTTCTTCTGAAATTTGTACAAGTTGCTGATCTTATTGATAATTGAAAGGAAGAATTTTATTTAATTCAACAATTTTTGATAATAACTTTAGTTGATCTGATCCTTTTGAAATTTTTATGGGTTGTTTAGCTCATAACTGCTGGACAACATAGCTGCTGGAGGGCATTAGTTTCTTTGTCTGGCAACCTATGTTATAGTGGTAGGCTAAAACCGTAACAAAACAGTAGGTGATCATATTGCAACCAACATTTGTTTATTATAATATTATTATGGATCATATTGCAACCAACGTTTGTTTATGATAATATTATGGATCGTAGTGAAACCAACATTTGTTTATTATAATATTATTATCGAGATTTCTTTTCCTTTTCAGATATGACTTTCACTCATGAGGGAAATAAAACATATTTTGAGAATTTAGTCAATTTTGAGAAAATGGTAAGATAGTGTTTTAGTTAAACACTCATTACGATCAGAGTGCAGATTGTTATTGGATGTATCTACCTATAATTTCAAATCATTTGGATCCAGAACTTTTCGATACAGTCCATCAATTGTGTGCAATACACTTCCAGAAAATATGATTCGGTGTCAATTTTAAATCCAAAGTGAAAATTTGGTTATTGAGTCAATATCATTAACAATCCAAATTGAGAACATGTTCTAGCGCCTTGAGCATGATTCCCTGGTAGACTGAATAGATGCGAAATACAAATTTCATTATTATGATTATGATAAGTCCAGTTATTTTTTTATCAGAGCACTATATAACATAAACTAAATTTATAAACGAATATAACATAAAGAAAATTAACACTCTACTACCTGCAATGTTAAACTTCAAGGCCAATAACTCTTAAAAGCTTATTATTCCTGAAAAAAAGAAAAAGCAAAATAAATTAATTGTAAGTGATAAAGTTATGTCACTGGTGGTTTTCACAGGGTCTCTATATACCTATAAAAACAACTATGATCTGTTGTAAAGATATTGTCTGCGATATCACCTCGGTGGAAGCGGACGTAAAATACAACTAACTCGTACACGTTGTAAAGATGTGGTCATCTGAGAATGAAAGAAATCTGGAATTGTGATACTGGTCAATAGAAGAATGTTACAATGACGTAGATGGATTGTTCCATGATTTATTATTTATATATTTAATTTTATAGATATACACATTATTACTACTTCTGAAATCTTATTTATTTATTTTACAGCATATGATAGCGCAAACTTTACGAACAGTGAAATTTTGTCGTAGTCAGCCATTTGGTAAGTTAAAGTTCATCGATGAATCTGATGGGTACAATTTAAATATTACTGCTTACAGTAGTGTAATTTTAATTGAATCGCTATTGGTCAGTATTGTCACCAGCTTACTGTGCTCATTGCTCTTTTAAACTATTCTAATAATAAAATGAGAACAAGTCACCAGGACCCACAAAAAGTTTATATAGTATGTGATGAAAGACAACTAATTCTTAGTTCTTCTTTTAGTTCAAATTTTTAAGTTTTGAAATTTTAAACAAAACATTGTTTACTAGATTTGATATGCTATTTATTTATAAGAACTAAAATTTAAATTGTTTTGGCCTTGGCTGTGAACCTTAGTATAAATAGAATGATTTCAATCATTATTTATTTATATTAATTATAATTTACAGAGTTAGATTCTCCTCCCACAGTCAAATCATCAGCTGATGTTCGGCAATATGTCAGGTACGATAATTTATTATATATACCACGATATTTTATACTTGTGTTAGTTAACATGTTATAGAGAGAGAATTGGGTTTAACATCAACTTGACAAAGCTGGGTAATGGTTCAGTTTTATTGCAAGCTTGCATGTAGGGGTCTTTAGCAGTGGGAGGAAACCTGAAGACCAAAGAGGTGTGGTTTCGATTCCCCACTTGTAGTTGGCATGGAGTAGGGTCACCTGTCCAACCTCATGGGTTTTCTCCGTGTACTCCAGTTTCCTCCCACTGCTAAAGACCCCTACGTGCAAGCGAATTATTGAAATAAAATTGAACCATATGTTAGTCCTGGAATGACCTAGTTTGTGTTGAGTGGAGCTTAAACCTCTCTCTCTCTCTCTCTCTCTCTCTCTTCTGAACAACTAGACACGTTTTTCTTACCATCATATATAGAAATGAAACATTTCAAGTGAATAGCTTTTACAATCATTTACTATCACAGATAAAGGTACCAGAAAGTTTTCTGGCGATGTGTCCCCTTTTCAGTGTTGCAGGATGGAGGGCCTGACAAGGAACAGTGTCTAGTCATTCGCATGGGACAAAAAAAATATGTGAAAGAACCCTTGACAGTTGGAATTTAAAATAAGTGTAGGCCATTGCACCGATGTCCGGGCAAAATTTCCCGAATAGCACACTGGATGGCGTATGCCTGTCTTCGTTAGCCCAGTCGGTGCAGAACAGTAGGATGTTAAACCCCATTTCATTTAAGGCACTAGGAGTTTAAGCATGTAATATATTGTAAGGTTGTATTTTTCAGGAATCTACAAGTTATAGACAATGATAGAATATTAACACAATGGTCTCATAAAGTAGAACCAAGACGATCGTGATAAAAACTTGATCAGTGCAATTTCTCTTTAAACCTGGTTAAAATAGACATACAGCAAGTGTGACAATAACCTGGATGTGATGTGATGTGATATACATGTGATATTCAGAAGAATTCCATTCATTGTGTCTACTAGAATGTATGCATTGTATGTGATCATCCAATTACAATGGGATTTCTATATAAGGTGTTAAAGTGAAGTCACCATATAATATATAGGGGGCTAACTATACCATGGGTGTAATTAGTGGACCCAAATATCAGCGTTATAGTTGTTAAGTCGCAATTTAATATATAGGGGGCTAACTATAACATGGGTGTAATTAGTGGACCCAAATATCAGCTTAATAGTTGTTAAGTCGCAGTTTAATATACAGCGGGCTAAATATGACATGGGTGTAATTAGTGGACCCAAATATCAGAATTATAGCGATGCTCCAGTGTATAATCTATAGAGGGCTAACTATAACATGGGTGTAATTAGTGAACCCAAATATCAGCGTTATAGTGATGTTTCAATGTATAATCTGTGGACCCCAACATAGAGGGTTCACCATTACATAGAACTAGTTATAGGTGTTATATGGATGTTGTTATAGCGAAGCCCCAGTCATTGAGGAAAATCGCCCATCACCAACTACAAATCAACATGTTTGGTCATCATTTTAATTGCCTAACATTTCTAAATAAAGGGGAATAACCAATGAATAAAAGAACAATTGACTGAACAAGAGAATTATTTATAACAAAAATAAGACTTTATATATATTTGAACCACCAGGAAACATATATTTGATGCCAAATATGGATTTCAAGAGAAGCACACAAATTTCTGCCATTGTGTCCGTCTAGTTGTATGATGATGAATTGGTGGCGACAGCCATCATGCAATGACAAAACACTGGTTGACCGAAAGTATAATTAAGTTATTTCATTTATTGTGTATCTTTTATACCATTTAAGTCAAAAATATTCAAATAAAAGTAAGATATTATCCTGATTAATCTTCATAGAACATATCTCAATATGTCATCCATTATCCTTCTTCCTTACTACATCATTATCCTTATTCCTTACAACATCCGGTATCCTTATTCCTCACAACATCCTGTATCCTTCTTCCTTACAGCAACCGGTATCCTTATTCCTTACAACATCCAGTATCCTTATTCCTGACAACATCCATTATATTTATTCCTTACAACATCTGGTATCCTTATTCCTTACAACATCCCTTATCCTTACAACATCCATTATATTTATTCCTTACAACATCCCTTATCCTTGTTCCTTACAACATCCGGTATCCTTATTCCTCCCATCATCATCCAGTATATTTATTCCTTACAACATCCATTATCCTTATTCGTTACAACATCCATTATTCGATATTGCAGCCATTATCCTTAAGCCTTACTAATTCCAATATCCCTATTCCTTACTACACTCATTATCCTTATTCCTTTATACAACCATTATCTGTATTCCTTATTCCACCAATTAACCGTTCTATGTCCATCATCCTTTAAAATCCTTACTACAGCCATAATGGACAATATTTATTATGTTTTCAATATTATCTCAATTTGAAACCATTGTAATGATAAATTATACATCATATAAGTGCCTTTCATGAACAAATGAAATATAGACATCTGTTAGAATTGAACAACGATGCAGAATGATATTAGAACAATTATACTTAGTCTTAATTAAAAGTAGAATGGTGTGGTCTTTTTGACAATTGTAACTACTATCTTCTTTTTTATTTATTTCTTGATCTTCCATTGTTTCGTTAATTAATTGCATCGTTGTTGATTATTGAATTAATTAATCTCATTGTTATTGATCATTGAATTAATTAATTGCATCATTGTTGGTTATTTAAATAATTAATTACATATTTGTTGATCATTGAATTAATTAATTCCATCATTTAAATAATTCATTACATAGTTGTTGATCATAGAATTTATTAATTGCAACGTTATTGATTATTTAAGTAATTAATTGCATAGTTGTTGATCATTGAATTAATTAATCGCATTGTTGTTGATCATTGAATTAATTAATTGCACCGTGATCATTGAATTAATTAATCCCGTTGTAGTTGATTAATTGACATGTTATGGACCTGTGAATAAGATGGAATGGAGTATAACATCTTTGATTTCAAATAAATACTGGGTTGATCTGATGTGCTGTTTCAAATAATGATGGAAAAAAGGGTAAAGATTAAATTTTTGTCTCGAAGGATATAGTGGAAGTCAGTTTGTTTACTAATTTTAGTTTCATTCTTGGTGTTATTTAGCAACACTCTCTCTCAACATTAATGGCCGACAAAATTTTGATTCAGTTCAACACATAAAATCCAGTGTGGTCGACAATTTTGTTTTTGACCCAGATCAAAGAGGTATAGCCGTTTAATTAAGACACATACCAAAACGTTATTCATCATACTATTGTTTCTCTATCTATTTATTTATATTTATTTGTCAAAAGAAAATATGAGATTTTATTTTAAACATTTAATAAAGCAAACAAAATCTCCCATAATGGATTCAATCATATTAAAAAGAAGCCCATGGGTGGCACTATCTGTTTTTGAACATATCCTACATATATCTTTGTAAATACTGATTTCCACAATAATTTACTTAATCCCTAATATAAATGTATACCTTCTATATTCATTGCTTTACAAACTATTCAGGTGAACCACCCTTTGTTATAGTTAAGTAATTCAAAATAACTTAAAATTTTGAAGTTTTGTTACTGTTAATATCTTTAAAGGTTCGATTACTATTACTTGATATACAACATAGCTTTAACATGGAAGATCGCTTTTAAAAATAACCTTAAGCTGAAGCCTAAGTATTATTTCTAAAGTCTATCATAGTATTACATTCATATTCATACAAGCATGATTATCAAATTCAGGGCCAAAAACTCATCTAAAACTGCTTCTCTATCAGTAGATATTACTTTGCCTCAGATTACATTAATGATGACCCCTCTCATCAACCCGGCAACATAATTAATTCCGCTTTATATCCTCTAATGAGGATACTTAATGTTAAAAAACTTCACCACGAGACCATCAAAATCTCTATATGAAAGCCTGAAATTAAAGTATCTGTTACAATAATTGTCCGACACAAATTCAGGTTTTGTTAGGCACAATTCCTCCAGTACTTGTCATTTTTACTGTACAAGTTTTGGTCATTTTCCAGTGTTTTTTTTTTTTTATTTTTTATCTTTTTTATACAGAATATTGAATATGCCATGTTCAAATTCAATAGTGCCTGATATTTTGTCAGATATATATAACAGTCATTATTTCCAGACCTGACTATATATATGTTTTAGCGTAAGAGTTAAACATGCATTCTGCAAGAGCTAAATCTTCCTATTGCAGGTCTTTCTTTAGGCCTGAAATGTTATCTAAATTATTAATTAGACATTAATTAACTTATCCAGACTATAATCAACTCTCGATGCCATCGCTAGCCTGCGATATTTAACGGACTGGAATACATTTTTTTTAAAATAGTTAAACGTAAAAATGGATAATCAAGACTTTGTTTTTTATTATACCGACTTAAGTAATGATGATTGAGGCTAATTTAAAATTCAAAATCTAATATCTCAGTTAAGAGTCGAGCAATTTGACTGAAATTTTCAGCATATTCTATTTACGTTATCTATTTTTTAAACTATTATTGCGTAACTGTCAACTCTGTATCTAATTAATCTCCCATAATGCCTCCTTTAAGGAGAGAATTAATTGCATGATGAATTGGATTTGGATCTGAAGCATCAGTGTCTTCATGTGTTTTTTTGCTCAAATCAGATAGTGGTATTGTCAGGTATGAAAGAGATATATGTAATCACCTGTAAATACATCATACACATTTTATTTAATCTCATTAATTTATATCTACATTTTGTTACTGTGTAAGCTACTCGGTTTGACAACTGGAATTTGTCATATGCTCCCAAACTTTTATTTATGAAAATAGATAATTAAATAAATCATGCATCAGATTTTTATCCCGCAGCTACACAGATCTACCGGCCTGTCATGCCTCTGCTACTCTTTTAAGGGAGTGTTGCCGTTTTCCCTTCCTGCCTCACATATTTACGAAAATGCACCAAAAATGATTAAAAAATTACAAAAAAAAACACAACCCGATTTTAATAGACACTGTTCAGAGTTATTCTTTTTGAAGACTATTATAGCTCGAATTTTTTCTGAAAACCCTTTACATAGGAAAGGTGTTTTAAGATCTTTTAAAGCTTAAAGTTTGAGAGCTCTTTTAAATTTTGATTTTCAAACCTTAAGGCTCGGACAATAATTATTATTATTTATATATTATCAATATCTAAAGGTGCTCTGAGAGCTATGTTAATGTTATACGGTTAAATTGTACAAATTTATAAATATATTACAATTATTATTAATGATTAATTAATCATTAAAGAAATATTTATATGTTGTAAATAAAAGATAAAAAAATATATTACATTACTGTTATATTTGTATCCACCTGGCTGGAGACTGTCATGGATTCAAATGAAATGAAATGGGGTTTAACGTCCTACTCCTATACTGGACTAATGAAAACGGGCATACACCATACAGTGTGTTATGAGGGAAATTTTTCTCGGGTAGCAGCTCTATGGCCTATTACTATATCGAATTCTAACTGCCAAGGGATCTTTTACGTGTACGCCAATGTATACACGGGACCTCGGTTTTTCGTGCCACCCCCAGGTCCACCATCCTGTACCAGTGAGAAGCAGAAACCACATTTGAAAATCCAGATGAACTATCTTGGTCAATGCAGGAATCAAACAAGCGACCTCCAGGCTAGCGAGCCAGCGTCTTACCCACTTAGCCACCGTGGCCCCCATCATGGATTCAATCCAGGGCTTGAATTAACCAAGGGAAAGATGGCCAGTCTAACCTCACGGAAACTGTCTCCAACTAATGACATGTTAGTCCCAAATGGACCAGGTAGCCTAAGTGTCGAGTAGACATGAAGCTCATAGCCTACAGGGCTGGTTTTTGGCACATTTGACCAATTGCCTCAAATTGGGCCCCGCTAGTCCCAAAAAGGCCAAGTTAGGGTGGCCCATGCACCTACTGAAATACAGTCAACCGCTGATAGTTCGAGACTACCACTGAAGCGTGCACATTCGCCGTGTCGAGGCCAACTTTCTGACAGTATGATACTATAAATAGCCATGGCACGTGCAATTCTCTACAAATCTATCAACTATTACAGCCGTAAAAAATTTATTGTTGACGATTTTGAATAGCAGTAAAATTAAGCTTCTTGGTTATTACAGCAGATTTAGAAATTACGTTCGTTTCATTTTTTAAATCGCTTTATCATTAACTGTACCGTTCAGAGCAGCATCTTTTGGTTTAGTACAAATAATATCTCTGAAGCACTCGGGTTAGACAGGAACATGATACTAGCAGTAGTTTCATTTTACTTTTACAAGCTTCTTAAAACAATTGTTGAGCTAGCTAACGTGCTCATGTCTAAATTCAATTTCTTGTTCTAGCTTTCTGTTATGTTTCGTAAAAAAGTAGTCTTGATTATCCCGACCTGTCAATCAGCCCTTGAATGGTCGATAGACTGGTTAAGCGAGACTAATTTCAAAACAAGGGCACGTAACCTATTTTTTACTCAAGAGTGTCTGGATGTTATGGACGACACATGGAACCAGTTTTCAGTCTATTATTTATAGATGATTAATGGTCATAGCTTATTAAGTACAACATGATCGTTTATTTAGTGACTATAATTGTGTGAAACTGATTTGAGGCTTGGCATATATATAAATATTGTGGCGAAATTGTCGAGATATATGGAGATATTTATTTATGGTGGGTCACCCTACTTGCCAAGTAGCCAAAGTGTGGATCGGGTGAACATAAACCTCATACATAGCCTACAGGGCCGGTTTTTTGGTACTTATGACCAATTTAAAAATATTCCAGGCAATCCCTATGGCGAAGTATAATCTACCATTGAACCAGTATTCTCTAAGGTTAAACACTTCAATATGTACTAACAGTAACTGGTGCCAACAATAGAAATAGTTCCACTGCTGACGCCTTCCCTCTTGCCACACTGATCCGCAGTGAATATTTGCTAGGCCGCTACAATCACTGATAAGGATGACATCGATGCGGCTTAATGAGCCAGAAATATTAACTTTTTTCCTGCGACAAATTAAATTCTAAAACATTTTTTTTATGTATTGGAAAAATAAATAAAGGCGGACAAAACACACATATTATAAGTCTGTAAAGTGGGCGTCTGTTCCAAAGTAATTCTTATTAATTTCACCCGCAAAAAGTTGTAACATAAAATGGTGCGCGAATCTATAGAGATCAAATTTGTACGGAGTGAGCTCCCTTTAATGCACATGATTCAATCGACGAAGCTTACAGGGGTCATTGGGAATATTCTAGGCAGCGTTTGTCAACTGTATGAATCTATCGTTTCTAAAAGTTTACCTTGTTAGAAAAAGCAAACTATATAAACAGAAGAGCCAAGATTCAATAATTTGACAAACATTTAAAAAAAAAAAAAATGCGTTAAAACATTTATAAAGGATAATACATTATAGGCACTGGGGCTTAAAGCTTGTATTATATAACGTAGGCCCGTAGCCAGAGGGGGGGGGGGGATTCCTTACCATAGCTGTAAATACCTTCTGTAGACTGTGCCGGGTGTGCCCCCACCCACACCCCTAAAAACTTCACTGCTCCTCAGAAGCTAACAAGCTGGCAACGGGCCTGATATAGCGGCGGATCTAATACCAGAATCCATTCTTCAGAATACATCCATAGTAACGGCTATTTGGTTTTCGTTCGATGATCACATTTTATTTTGCAAAAATACCCCTTCACTATTCGGATGTTTCAGAATTGGATGCCAAGACAAATATAAGCTAATCAAAATGTCAAAATTGATTGTTTTCATTATGAGAAATACAATTCAACTATTTTTTTTTTTATTTAGAATTTTTTTCTACAATTTAAACCCAGAGGCACACATTCGATCGCTACAATTGATCACAAATGAATTTTATAATCTAAATATAAATAAGTATTGATTGTGTTCTGTTTTAAACAAAATGAAGTATTGATTTGCATTGTTTCGATTAGTGAAGGGGGTAGTTGACTCAATGCCATTAAATATGTGTTTTGGGGGATTAAGCGGAATTCGATCAACATATTGTATTTTCATTTTCGGATATCTCATTCATTCGCTTTAGACATAGGCCTATGAGTTTTTTAAAAATGTTTTTCCATTTTTTTATCTTTAAAGTAGTTAAGTCTCTAACTCAATATCATCCTAAGTCATCGACATTGAAAACACGAGTTATTTGTCAATTTAAATCAACATTGATGTTGTGATCTTAAAGGGTAAATATGGACCTCTGATATCCAATATTTAAGACAAAATAAACATTTTACCATTGGTACACGAATCGTGTACCATAATGCGTTTCAGTGCCATTTGTAACAAGGGACTCGAAGGACGAGGCTAAACATGTTCCACAAGTCATGTCAAACGGTGACGGCATATTCTTATCTGGAGAGTATGCGCAATAAATACTACCGGTTTAGACTGGAATAACCAGACTTCTGGAGTATTTCGCCGAAGATAACTGATTTGAAATTAGAGTAAAAACGATTGAATGTAAATCAGTTTAAATACATTCACATTACATTATTATATGCGTTGCTACCCATTTGTGTCAATTCCTAGCACGATCTAAAGGAGGGAACATTTTGGCCCTATATTTATTCTAGTTCCCGTCCCATAGTACTGAGGTACCGGTTTTTATAAACGGATATGCATATTTACCTAATAACAATCTTTACAATTGTTGTATCGTCCAGGGGGGTTGGGTGGCTGAATGGTAAGCGTGCGCGCGCTGTATCATAAAGTCTGTCATTGAGTCGACTGGCGTGGTTTCGAATCCCCGGTTGTACGTGACAAGGAATAGGGTCGTCTGTCCAAGCTCGTGGGTTTTCTCCGGGTCCTCCGGTTTCCTCCCACTGCTAAAGATCCCTACGCGCAAGCGAATTATTGAAATAAAATTAAACCATATGTTAGTCCCGAAATGACCTAGTTTGTGTTGAGTGGACGTTAAACTCTCTCTCTCTCTGTATCGTCCAAGATGCAAGCCTGTCTTGTTTTGCAAAATATTGACAGAATAAAACAATAAAGAAAAAATAGAACAGACTAAATTTAATGATTTAGAAAAGACAATATATTTAAATTATATTTTCTTTCATAAAACTTCTTATAAATCCATAAAAATAGTTATATAAATCCATAAAAAAATATCTCCTTTCTGGGAACATTTACTAAAATAACCATCAGCGAAACACGTCGGTTCGTGACACGGGCTGTAATCTATATTTTATGTTCAATGGTCATGATTGATATTTACATCTCACTTCTGTTGTGTCGTCATAACAAACAATATCTAAGACAAAACATTTTTTAAGGAACTACACCTCGCCACAAAACCAGACAAACAAAAAAACCAGAGAAATTAAATGGTTGTTTAACGTTCTACTTCTCTGCATCGAACGGGAAAATGAAGATGGGAATACGTCATGCAGTGTGCTATGGGGAAATTTTTGCCCGGACAGTGGCATTTCTGCCAACTCTTCGTCGAATTCCAACCGTCCTGGATTCTTTTACGACCTTGATTTTCCATCCTACATCACTGATAAGTGGAAATCACTCTGTAAAACCACGAGGAACGTTCATGGCCAACATTAGGCCATCGAAGTCAAGAAACGTCTTGCAGCAGGCACCCATCGGTTTGGGTGATGGGGGTTGGGTTGTCTAAATTGTACCAAATACTCTCTCTCTTCCTCTCTCTCTCTCTCTCAAAATGAGATTATGAATCTCTAAATTACATTTCTCGTGACAACAAACATCTGAAACATCTCTCTCTCTCTCTCTCTCTCTCTCTCTCAAAATGACATAATGAATCTTTAAATTACATTTCTCGTGACAACAAACATCTGAAACATCTCTCTCTCTCCCTCTCTTTCTCTCCCTCTCTCTCTCCCCAAAATTAGATAATGAATCTTTAAATTACATTTCTCGTGACAACAAACATCTGAAACATCTCTCTCTCTCTCTCTCTCTCTCTCTCTCTCCCCCCCCCAAAATGAGATAATGAATCTTTAAATTACATTTCTCGTGACAACAAACATCTGAAACATCTCTCTCTCACTCTCTCACTCTCTCTTTCTCTCTCTCTCTCCCCAAAATAAGATAATGAATCTTTAAATTACATTTCTCGTGACAACAAACATCTGAAACATGTATAAAGAGAGTAATGTTACAACGTTAGATTGATTGCCTATAAAAAATATAACCCACATAAACAAACAGTCCGATTATTGAAATATCCTTTTCAAGAAAACCGACCTCATTCTTTTGATAAGAAACCAACAGTAATTATTTTCATCCATCAAATCGTTAATTAATCATTAATGTTTGTTCGCGTCTTAGAAGCAAGCGTAAATCATTTTTAATTGTAAATATTGGAAGGCAAGCTAATCGATTTGTCATCAGAAATCGATTATCTCTATTCCCGTTTTTTACAAAAGATATCGATAGGAAATAGATTTTGGAGAAAATTTGTTTGTATAAATTGTACCGTATATAATAATATAACAATTAGAGGATATCTTCATATCTGGTTCACCTCTTCATCAAGATGGTTCTGTTTCAGTATGTCTTGGCTATTTTCAGTGCTGGTTTAGGTAAGTCCTTATGCCATACGTTTTCAGTACCGTTAAATAATCAGCCTATTTCCGTTGCGTGCAGAGACTTGGCGATGCCCGAAGCCAACACCATGGGTATATCACCACTTGCACCAAGACTCGAGTATAGTATAGAACATATTTTGAAATGTGAGAAAGACAGATGGCAGGTTGCTTCTGCGAAAAGATTAACAGCGATAATTTCTAATTTAAAAAAAACTTAATTTTTCTCCTTGTTCGGATGTTAAAATGTAGCCTATGTGTCTAAAAACTGTATCAATCATGATATATAACATCTGGTATAAATTTGGTGGTTGTAAACACTCGGGTTTACTGTCTGGTCCATGCTGTAAAGATATAAGGGAGAGAGAGAGAAATGAGGTTTAACGTCCACTCGACACAAACTAGGTCATTTCGGGACTAACATACGGTTCAATTTATTTCAATAATTCGCTTGCACGTAGGGGTCTTTAGCAGTGGGAGGAAACCGGAGGACCCGGAGAAAACCCACGAGGTTGAACAGGCGACCCTACTCCTTGCCATGTACAACCGGGGATTCGAAACCACGCCAGCTGACTCAATGACAGACTTTATGAAACGATATGTGTGTTTTCATGTACGAACAAACTCACTAAAGTTTCTGATCGTCTTGAATTTGTAATCCCTCGCAAAATACAATATTGTGGAAGTTGACTCTCTAATCGTAATATCAATCCACAAATGGTTCAGTTCCGTTCAGTATGATCCAATCAGGCAGTAGAAATCATATATTATAGCTGTTTATCATGCCCCAGGCAATAGAAATCATACCCCTTTATTATAACCCAGGCAATAAATGAAATGAAATGAAATGGGGTTTAACGTCCTACTGTTCTGCTCCTATGCTGGGCTAATGAAGACGGGCATACGCCATATAGTGTGCGATGAGGGAAATTTTGCCCGGGCAGCAGCACTATCGCCTACTCTTATATCGAATTCCAACTGACAAGGGATCCTTTACGTGCATTCCAATGTATACACGGGGCCTCGGTTTTTCGTCCTATCCGAAGGACTAGACAGCTGTCCTTGTCAGGCCCTCCGTCCTGCATCACTGACAAGGGGGAACCACGCCGGAAAATCTGGATGAACTTTCTCGGTCAATGCAGGGATCGAACACACGACCTTCGGGCTAGCGAGCCAGCGTCTTACCCACTTAGCCACGTGGTCCCCCACCCAGGCAAGAGAAGTCATAGCTGTTTATCATGGCCCACGCAATAGAAATCATACCTGTTTATCATGGCCCGGGCGGTAGAAAGCATATACCTTTGTATCATGGCCCAGTCAGTAGAAATCATACCTTTTTATCATGCCCCGGGTAGTAGTAATCATGGTCCAGACAGTAGAAATCATACCTGTTTTGTCATTTTATTCAAATATGTATTACTGTTTGTTTTTTGGGGTTTTTTTTCAGTTTCTGGACAATACGCCCCGATTCATTTCTGGCCTTTGGATAATGTAACCTATGGGTTTGATATGGTCCCATTTATACCGTTGATGTGGGAAATAGCTCAATATGACGTATGTTTTGAGTTCGGTGATGGACACCCTAGCACAACCAATGAAGCTACGAAATTTGGGGGTGCAGATACATCCTATTTGGATTTCAGAATGTTCCAACGATATTTTCAAACGACGTTTACGTTCGCCTTCTTAGTATTTGTCGAGGAGTTCTCGTCTGGTACAATTCTTCACCTTACCGGAGATTGTGCATTGAAAGCCGTCTGCAACATGAGCCTAGTGCTGGTAGACGACAAACTTCAGTTCACTATATGGGATTCCTCAATTGGCCTTTGCGCAAGCCTTCAAAGCAGCCACGTTTTTTCAACAGCGACCTGGAATTACGTCGCTATAAAAAGATCCACAACGGAAACGACCTTAATTTTAAACAACCTATCCGAATCAGTCCCTGATAGTTGTTCCAGACCGGCTAGTGACTTTGGTCAATCGATTCTCCGTCTGGGAGGCAGCATTGATAATGTTGACGACAGGTTTCGAGGTAGAATGCAATGTGTGGCATTTTTAGAGAGTTATGCTGATTTCGCAACAGAAATGTCTGACTTACTGATCGAATGTAACAAAGCACGAATTCCCCAGTCAGGTATGTAGTCATTCTTTTAGAATTATTGCGAATGTGTGCTCATGTGTATGAGGTTTGCCCCCGGGAAAAATATAGCACTACGCAACAAATATTTAGAAAATCTTAGGGTGGTGGTGGTGGTGGTGGTGGTGTGTGTGTGTGTGTGGGGGGGGCGACATTGTTCCGATTCTAACAGTCAACAGTCATCGGGGGGCCTGCCCAGGAACAGCGTCTAGTTTGTTTGTATGAGAGGAGCAGATAGCAAATATCCTCCATAGCACAATGCATGACCTATGCAAACACAGATCCTATTTCGCAGGGTAAGAGAAAAAAGTTAAGGTCCACTGCAGATTTTCTCCTTATGTCGCGAGATGTAAATATGATTAGGGGACGTGATTGTTGACGGGGTTAGGGTTAGCGCTAGCCCTGTCTACATCTCGTGACCTATGACCAAATCTGCAGTCGGCTTTAACTTTTAGACCTGACACTTCGTGTAGTGGATATTATAGATAGTATAAAAAACGAAACGAAATATTAATCTTTATCTAAATTAGATTAATGTTTCAACTTTCAGATTCGTTCATGTGTAATATTGACGACCATCTACCATCTAAGTCCAGGATGTTTGGACTGAAAGGCGCCGACAAACGACCATCAGTCAACGCTCCACCACTACTAATCCTCACATCAACCACGTTCGTGTCATGCGCGACCGAGTGTTTCCGTTCTGAAACTTGCAAGGCAATCATTATTAATACGTCAGTCACCAACAATAATTGTGAACTTTATGATTTTGTAGAAACTCATGCCTTAATTCCATCCCCGGGAGCTCAGTATTTCGCGATAACCAATATTTTATAAAATAGTGAAACACGTATAGAACTCTAATGATAAAATAGTGAAACAGGTATAGAACTCTAATGATAAAACAGTGAAACAAGTATAGAATTCTAATGATAAAATAGCGAAACAGGTATAGAACTATAATGATAAAACAGCGAAACAAGTATAGAACTCTAATGATAAAATTCAAATTAATTTATTTTATAAATAGTGATAAGAATTGTGACCTGTAATGTGTCACAATTAATTTATGGTCGGACGGACGGACGTCCAGGGGCGACGACAATATCCGTCCACATGAAAATTATGGATAAATTAAATTTTGACGAAACCGGTCTTAATAATTAATCACCGACAAGAACCAACAAAAGCGTTTTTTAGTCAAACTTCAATTATCCATGATTTATTCAATTGTTGATAAAATCATTTAAATTTTGGATATGATATGTAGAATATGCGTATCTATAACGTAACTTTTCCTTGTCAGTTTTTGTCAGTGATTAGTAGCACACGTGTTCATTCAGGTCAATGTAGATAAATAATTATATAAGCACAGACTTCTATTTTGCACTTACTTCTTTCACAGAAAGTTTTGAGCAATATACCTAGATTCCCAGAAAGTAAAAAAAAACCCACCCTTTCCTCCTGTTAACAAATATATGATAATTGTATCATTCAGTGTTTTGTGGAAGAGAGAGATAGTAGTATCAATCGTAAATAAATGACAAACGTGACGTTTGTACCGAGCACTTATGGACTGATTCGTTCACTTATATCCGTCATAACAAATAATACAAATAATTTAACAGGCTATATCTATCCACACGGTATATTAAATTCGTATTCTAAATTTCCAATGTATCACTTGTTTTTTGTTTTTTTCACACGACATTTATTTAATTGAAACACCCCGTGCATAATCTGAAGTTGATTAAGGAATTGTGGGGACCACCATACACTACTCAGAACTCCTGATGGGCTGTGGTTGGAAGGATTAATCCTTTACTGAATACGTATAATACTAACCGGATAATTCACAAAACTCTATTTTCTAAGAACCCTTGTTCCTATAGAGGATGCTAGTAAAAATCAAATTGGGAATCTATAACAATTTCATACCCGTGATATAAAATTATTAATATCGATGCTAGTCCGGTGAGTCCCACGTATATGACATAATATGGGTCAACAGTGCGCTTTGAGGCGATGAATCCTCGGCCTCGCAGCTACAAGTTAGCCATTAGCTGTAGCAGGGCCTTCATTTAAAGGAAGTGCATCTGTTGTTGCCACGGCCCCTGTGTTCCTCCGACGTACCGTAGATAGAACTTTCTTACTGTATATCGTTGACATGACGAAAATCGTTATGGATATCGCTGCTTCAGAAAGAGTAAGATAGCAAAACCACAATGGCGAGAATTTTTCCATGAAATATCCCAAAACAATAGGGTTACAGAGTCTGCCGGTAGCTGATCCCATTAACATAATGGATGACATCTTTCCGCTTACTGAAACAATTGACTTATTAATCCACGCCACACCGATTGGAAATAAGACACCTATAATAAAACCACACGCTGCTACACAAATCCACACCCCAATATGTCCAGAATAAATAGAACTTATTGTCAAACCTGCAATTGATAATAAAAGTATTGCCAGTGAGCCGAATAACAGAAGCGTTGGACTCAACAAGTCTGCGAAGAAAATACCTAGAGCACGCACGATCACGTACATCCCGAAAAACAAGGAGGATAACTGCGCACCTTGGGTCTTGGACCAATTCAACTGTTTAACCACAAAGGTCATGAGAAATGATGAAAAGGCGTCTTCTATTGAGTTGTTGAAAACGAAAGTGAGTATGATGATTATAATAGCTATGATATAATGACGTATAGGTAACTCTCGAACAGCCTCCTGATCTGGAGAAGTTCTCTTTGTAGGTTGGAGTTTCCTTTTTCTGAAAGTCTGATAAAGCAGCGGAAATGACGTTATAAAGGCTAAGGCGCCAGAAATGGCATATGCGTAATGGAGTCGGATTTCGAAGTCTGGAGTCTCTGTTGAGTTACTGCACGCTGAGTCATTGAGGGTGAAATTCGCGCTTAATTCGTACGGCGGAGAGCTGTGTCCAAATGACTCTGTTGAATCTGCAGGGGTAGAGACATTAACATTAGTTCCATTACTACACAGCACATGTGTTGAATTCAAGACACGGTTCACCAGTTCTTTGGGTACCAAAAACGGTTCCGTGACTAGAGGTCCAAACACAGCTCCAATTGAAAATCCAAGGTTGTTTAAGAACAAATATGGCTGACTTTCTAGATCCCACATTCGAACAACTTCGGCGTTAGAACCTGAAAATAAAATGAGAGTATGTCTATATTTTCCATTTTTTCAAAAACGCATCAAAGCAAAATAATGTTAGCAAACGAAATTGAAGTTGGGTGGACAATTTCGTCCAAAGACGATGTTCTGTAGATGTGTAATTTACACGAAACTTTTATTTTATTGTCAGGTGGCAACATTAAAAGCAAATTTGTCGCTGGGAAACGGGTTTTAGTTTCATAGGATCAAACACCAGCCTCAAACCTGTTTAGTCTTTTTGAATAGTTTATATTTGGTTTGTTTCTATGCGTTTGTTAAGGTCGCGGTTGTTGTTCGGTAAGTCGACTTTGACAGCCAGATGTCTCCTCTCTCTCTGAACCTTACGTCCGCGATCCAGGCAAAATCTCTTCAATGGAATTGCGCTGGCAACCATAGAAACAGTCGGTGGCTCAGTTACCAGGAGGTCATTTTCCGGTATCGTTCGAGAAAGTTCGTGATTTTTCTGCCTGGTTTGTACTTATCAGTGGCACAGGGCGAGCTGGCAAAGAATGAGCGAGTGTGTATTCGAGGAGGAAGAATAGTCGGAAACTCCGGGTACGGGACAATTCGTCCCGGGACAACTTGTCTCCTGACAATTCGTTCCCTAGGACTATTCGTACCCGGATAATTAGTCCCCTAGGAGTAGTCGTCCCAAGATAATTCGTCCTTAGAAAATCCGTCCCCTAGGTATATTCGTCCCCTAATTATGATCAAAACTGAGATTTAGAATAAAAAGTAAAGATTAATTCAGTTTTTGATAATGAAACTACCAGTAATTTTGTTCAGGGACAAACTGTCCTAGGGGACGAATTGTCCTAGGGGTCAAATTGTCCATGGGGACGAATTGTCCGGGGGGACGAATAGTCCTAGGGACTAATAGTCCTGATACGAATTGTACGGGGACGAATTGTCCTTAGGGACGAGTTGTCTGGAGATGAATTGTCCGGGGACGAATGTTCAGGGACGAATTGTTCAGCGACGAATTGTCCTAGAGTCGGAAATTCCACTGTCCGGGCATAATTGTCCACATAGCTATTTTCGTCTTAATTAGCATAATTGGTGCAGACGATATAGGACGTCAAACCCCGTTTCATTTCCTTTTAAATTCCTGCGTATTAATATATATATTTTAACAAAAGAAACTAAAACTTACTGGCATCAAAGCCTCCCTTAAAGAAGGCATTACAGAACCAAGCTACTAACATGGCTTCGTAAGCTGTACAATATGGAATGATGACAACAGTAACTGACATGCCGAGTACGGTCAGGTAGAGTAGAAGATTTCTATTAAACTTGTCGTACAATCCACCAAACACTAAAGCCCCGACTACACCACCCACTGCATATGCAGTGAAGAAGAAGGAAGCGGATTCTAAGGATGTATTAGTTATCAGTCGAATATCCAGAAAGGCTGCTCCCTTTTGGGCCGATATAAAGCCCTGAAATAAAGGTATAAAAACATGGATTAATATAAGCAGTTTTAATAACCATCAGTTAAATATTTTGGGCAATAAAGTGTCTTTATAATATCTTTGTATATGTCTGTATCAATTGTAATTTCGGTTCCAACCTGGCTTCTTTTAATTTTTAAAAAACTATCTTTAAATAGTTGATTTTGAAAAATCACACTAATTATCCGAGAATGAGACATTCCATAGAATTTTGGTGTAAAACTTGGTTTTTGGACGCAATAAACAACTGATTTCTCAGAAATGATATCAAAGACTTTATATAAAAAGAGCTTTTTATTTTGTAAATCAAAATTTTGTCATTTGATACTCCCAATGGCAGGCAGGTTTATAGTTGTCAACACTCATGATCTAATTAAACAATTTATATCACAGTAATCTACTCAGGTGGGACATATTGTTTAGATAAGCATACCAAGCAATTAAATGTCAGTGAACCCAACACAACACAAACATCCAAAATTTAGCCCTTGTTCTGGATCTGGTCTACAGACTGCAATAGGTGCACGATAACGAACATTTAAGTGGTTTGGAGGTGGGGGGGCAGTTTGTCGTCCCATCTGATCTACTAGGCGCTGTTCATGCACCATTGACAAGGGAAAAACACTTTATCGTACATTCCGCCCATTTATAACCACCTTGTATCATCATCAGTCAACAGGGTCCTCGTGTCTTCACCAGTAACAGTATAGTAACCCAAAAATGACAAAATATAACCAAAAATATGTTAATAAGCAAGCAAAATGGCCCTTTTGCGGCGAGTTGTTAAGTGTAGGAGATAATCGTCTAATAGATTTTTTTTGCTCGCTTCGCTTGAGGTCAAATAAATGAGCCACATACAAAACAAAACTTATAGAAACGATGCTATGTTAGAATGTAATGTAAGTCAACTGTGTATCTATTGTTATTATAATTTATGTAATAACACGATTATAAAGACTGAACCCGCTTGTGATGTATGTACATTAGGGGACCTTGTAAAGCATCTATAGAACGAAAAAGATGTTAAATTGTAATAACACTTTAATTATTATAATGTGTACTAACACATTAAAACAATGTTGTAATTAACATGTCCGAATAAAATGAAATGAAATGAAATGAAATGGGGTTTAACGTCCTACTGTTTTGCTCCGAACTGGGCTAATGAAGACGGGCATACGCCATACAGTGTGCTATGAGGGAAATTTTTCCCGGACAGCGGCACTACGGCCTACTCTTATATCGAATTCCAACTGTCAAGGGATCTTTTACGTGCACGCCAATGTGTACACGGGACCTCGGTTTTTCGTCTCATCCGAATGACTAGACAGCTGTCCTTGTCAGGCCCTCCGTCCTGCATCACTGACAAGGGGGAACCACGCCGGAAAATCGGGATGAACTTTCTCGGCCAATGCAGGGATCGAACACCCGACCTCCAGGCTAGCGAGCTAGCGTCTTACCCACTTAGCCACCGTGATCCCCTGTCCGAATAAAGATTTAATATTGAGAAAATGACTATACACAACCAAAACGCACCTATTCACCAGTATTTGTTTTTCTTGATGTCTGATGTAAAATTGACTAAATAAAAGGTCAGTTGAGGGCAATCAAATACAAACTTTTAACATACGATAAAATATTGAGATAAAAGATTATCATAGGTAAAAATCGATTTAATGTGTGTTGTGAATGTGTATTGTAGATGTATATTATGAATGTGTCTTGTAAACGTTTATTGTGAATTATGTATTTTGAATGTGTAAACTGATGTGTATTGTGAATGTGTCTTGTGAACATGTATTGTTGATGTGTATTGTGAATTATGTATTTTGAATATGTATTATTGATGTGTATTGTGAATTATGTATTGTGAATGTGTGTTGTTGGTGTGTATTGTGAATGTGTGTTGTTGGTGTGTATTGTGAATGCGTATCGTGAATGTATATTGTGGATTATGCATTGTGAACGTGTATTGTAAATGTGTATTGTTGATGTATATTGTGAATGTGTGAAATGATGTGTATTGTTGATGTATATTGTGAATGTGTAAAATGATGTGTATTGTTGATGTATATTGTGAATGTGTGAAATGATGTTTATCACCCAATAATACATTCTACAGTAGATATCGCTTGTGTGATATATTTCATAATCTACTGCGATATCTCCTAAGAGATATCGTTTTACATGAATTTGATTGGTCAGTTGAAAAGGAACTCCTTTTTATTATTTTCAAAGAACAGTTCATTTCTTATTAAAAGTAACCTTTTTTTTATTAAAAATGAACTATTGTTATTCAATTAACCTTGATGGAAACACTCGGTCAATAAAAAGGACTTTGCAATGGTAGAATTGCTGTCAAAAAATGATGTATCACTACGCCGTAATGTTCAGTAAAAGTTAAATCTACAGCAAAGAATTATATTTATCTATTTGTGCATGTAAGAAGGGATTGGGTGATAAATAAAATCTCCTACTCGTCTTTTTTGATCAAAAAATATCAACACTCGTTGATAAAGTAAAAAAAAAATCGGCAGAGCCTCGTTTTTTCTTACTTTATCAACTTGTGTTGATATTTTTTGATATCAAAAAAGACTGGTAGGAGATTCTCTATATATTGTAAATATGTGTTGTTTGTTGTGATTGTGGGTGTATATTGTACATTTCTATTGTCATATCCTGCGACAACGGGGAACCACGGTCGAAAACCCTGAATAACCTTCTCAGTCAGCATCGGTATATAGACCGGCATGTCCAGTCAAACGTTGCTCCCACTTTATAATCCATAACCCAATTCGATCATCATCATGTTAGTTATCTTTATCTATTGTCACCAGTATATTATTATTGTAAAGTTCTGAAAATAACATCTCACAAACATCTACGTGTAATCCTTATTGATACATGTATTGATATATAAAAGATTGATTTGAAAAGAAATATATCAATCTCCTCTTTCAAAACATTTCACAAACCGCTGCGATCAAAATAAAATTATTTATTTTGAAAGTCCCGAGGGTAAAATAAAACAAAATAACGTTACCATGGCAATATTAGCTACGAGTAGATATATTGTTTGCTTCAGACGGGTTCGATAGCCCGCGTCTGCCCATCTTTCAAACGGAGATTTTCTTGGGCAAGCCACCATGTTGAATTCTAGAAAAAAAAGACAAAAATAAAATAATTATGATGAATGAAGATGGGATGTTGCAGCCCAGCCCCCCCCCCTTTTAGTCTGAATTTACGATCGTGGTTGGAAGACCTAAGAAGTCCTAAAGCCCCCCCCCCCCCCGCGTCTTTTTATTTCATTGCTTTTTATGTCCTCAAAGCATTTTTTAAAAAAATTATCATTGAAATATAGTTAGTAATATGACAATTATGAATTAAATATTCATCAGAGTATGACTAAGGTTGTGTGTGTGTGGGTGGGAGGTGGGCCGTTGGCTTAGTGAGCAAGGTGTCGGCGAGGTTTTCTGATCCTGGTGTTGGAAAAGACAGTTCCTCGGGATGTCGGACGCCTGTCAAGGTATAGTGTCTAGTCGTTTGGGTGGGACGAAAAGACAACGTCAAGTAGTGTCATGCATGTAGAAGAACCATTAGGCTAAAGCTAGAATTCGAAATAGATGTAAGCCGGCTGTTCAAATATTAAATTTATTTTACACACAAACCCGTTTTAGGTAATAAGTAAGGGTTGTAAACGGTATTATGGCTAATGTTTGTTTCTATTGAAAGGGGTAAACATAATTGATGTAGGTCAAAATAAAGTATTGAATGGCCCTGGGTATTATTTGGATAATTGGGGCAATCTTTGTGTAACCCTATCAGTTTAAACGGCAAGTCACTGTTTATTGACATGTCATCGTATTACACCTGTATCGACTGAACGAAAAGGGTCATTGCCTTGTATAATCTTTGTCGCTGCTATCAAAAGGAAAGTCGCTGTTTATTGACATAATATCATAAAGTGTAACACTCGTAGCGTCTAAACGGAAAGGGGCCACTCCCTTATATAATCGTCGCCACACACTGCTATCGAAAATCACGACTTTGTCACCTCTAACTACGGGGATATGGCTGCGAATTTCTATTTCTGGCCTCCCATTCTCGCTCTATACGCTCGAATAGCCCTAAATCACGGCTGGGAGCGGATGTTACCCAGCTAACGAACGAACTTGTTTAAACTTTATCAGTATCACTGAGACATATCTATATTATTAAATTTTTATTTAGAAAAAATTAAAGGGCCAATCTCGATGATATTTTGGAGAATAAAAATGCTTCATTTTGTGTAAAAAGACCATAAAATCCTCTACCCTGGGGCCGAGCAACTAACTCAATATATGTGATACGTTGTAGAAAAAAAACGTAAAATCGCCTGTCTTCTTCTGGAAATGTAGACCGGAGTCCCAAGCTGTATTATACGGTGTCTGGATAAAACCAGACATTTATTTTATAAAAATAACGTGTAGGTGAAATTTACCATTCGTTATCAAGTACAGCACATGGGTCACGCACTGTACAAAACTCAAAAGGAATGGCATTAGATTATCAGGTCACCCAACGAAAAATTGACCCGAAAACTTAGAAGGGTTACGTGTCCGGATAAACGGTTTTGACGTTCACGTCCAAACGACTTGATATTTCGAACTGAAACTTTGAGACAACGCCAATTTCACACGTACAAGGATTATTTATTTCTGAGACTGTTCAAATCGGGATGGAACCTTTACATGGCTGTCGGCACCGACAAATTGGCACTCAAAATCTGCTTTATCAATAGACGTAAATTATAATTCATCAACATAATTTATAATCCGGGAGAAATGAGGTTTAACGTCCACTCGACACAAACTAGGTCATGTCGGGACTAACATATGGTTTAATTTTGTTTCAATAATTCGCTTGCGCGTAAGGGTCTTTAGTAGTGAGAGGAAATCGGAGGAACCAGAGAAAACCACGAGGTTGGAAAGGCGACCCTAATCCTTGTCACGTACAACCGGAGAATCGACACCACTCTAGTTGACTTAATGACAGACCTTATGATACAGCACCCACGTGTTAACCATTCGGCCATCCCCTCGCACAACCCCCCCCCCCCGCACCCAAACAACTAAAGACCACTACGCTGATGCTTATTATTGAATTATAATCGAACTATGTTAATCCCGAAATGACCTAGTTTACGTCAAGTTGACAATAAACCCCATTTCTCTCGCTTTCTCTCTCTAATTAACAGTAGGACGTTAAACCGGTTACCCCATTTCATTTCATTTCATTTTTCTCTAATTAATAATCCAAACATGTCGCAAAGTTTATAGTCTATAAATCAATTTAGAATATACGTTACTAAAAGCCCACTGTTTATCCCCTCAATAACGTCACTAAACAAACGTTATTTCAGAAGCCAACTAATTTAAGAATTACAGTTTTCAAACATTGGGAAATGTGGAGATTTGTAGGGTTCAATTGTATTAACTCGGCGCAAAGACTAGGCGTTTTTGTTTATAACAATATTGCTACTTTCATTTTAAAACAAGAGAAAACCTAAAGACGCCAAAAAACTGAAGTTAACAGACCGTACACTCGAAACCTCTCAATATTAAATCTATGATCCATGGCCAGGAAAACGTGGATTGATGAATTACGTCAAATTAAGTCTGGAATATTTAAATATTCTTACCTTTATAATTATAGTACACGTTGAACTTTGTATTCAAGTGTCTGGTTAGGATCAACTGTGGTTGACTACTAATTTATTCCAAATAGGTGACGTTTGATAGACTAATACCCCATTGTTGTGATTTGTCTAAATTTAACATCGCTCCCTTCACAAGATTTTGAGTTGTATGTTCAGTTGTATTTCAGCGAATCCATCTTTTGTGTTGCTTCATATTCACAATATTTTGGCTTTCCGGGTTTGTAGATTTAAAATGGTGGATATACCCCCAAAGCAACATTGTTTGCGATATCACCTATTGTTGACGTAGACCAGTAAGCATCAACACAAGGCAACTTCACAAACGGCCTGTCCTTTGAGAACCTCGTCCGATGTCATGAAAGGTTTGTGTGTAACTCCTGAATCCACAGTCGACATTAATATACAACCATCCGCGCAACCATGCGTAAATGTCCCGACGCCCTTACCGGTTGTTAAAACATTTAAATACATTGCTACAACACCTACCCTGTTGCGACTGAGTGCTCTTTTATTATTAACAAGCATGGACTTTGCTCATAAAGCTGAAAGGAATGAATACAAGCTTGGCATATATCTTTGTGTGACCTACTTTTGGCAGTTTTGACAGGTAGGGACACAATGTTCTGGATTTCCATTTGTATTCAGATGTAATTTGGTTGTATTGAATTCTTTATGAATTTATTTGACTTGAATTAGAACAATGTAATTCATACAAAGGTGTCTCAACGTTGCGCTAGATAATATTAACTGTGACGCATTTGACACCGATATTATCGGGTCATCAAGTGCAGAAAGCATGTTTTTATTTCGTGTTCCTCCTTTCTTTTAGTAGGGAGCCACGGGCTCGCGGTGGCTGAGTGTGTAAAGCGTTGGCCGTGAAAATACCTCGACTTTGTTTTGTTTGGTGTTCCTCCCTTCTTTTAATAGGGACCCACGGGCCCACGGGGGCTCAGTGAGTTTGACATTAGTCGTGAAAATACCAAGTGCGGAAAGAATGTTTTTATTTCGTGTTCCTTTCTTCTTTTAATAGGGAGCCACGGTGACTCAGTGTGTATGACTTTAGTCGTGAAAATAGCTCGACTTTATTTCTATTTCGTGTTCCTCCCTTCTTTTAATAAGGTTCAGTTAAAAGCCTGATTAAATAAATAGGTAACCTATATACCATTGGCGGCACGTTAAAGATCCACTGAAAGAAAACCTAATACTTCAGACAGGTCAGGCCGAGGCCCACTTTCCGTGTATGTGTTTACGCATTCGATTTTTTGTATTTCCATGTGTACATAAAAGTCTCTAAGAGGTTTGGAGAATTCCACGTAAATGACGTCATAAGTGAATCTGCAACAAGATTGGTTGACTGACTTGCTGGAAGAGACCCCGTGTTTGTAGGCGCAAGAAAGTAAACACCCGGTGCACTTCGCGCGAGAAAAAACGCCGCAAAAATGCGTATTTTTCTGCGTACGTTTTGCCCCGCGAAAAAAAAACCGGTCAAATGCAAATGTAATGGGGGCCTAGTCTTCTCACGTACAGACCACGCCCCTTGACCCAATGACAGACCTTATCTAAAGGGCACGCATTAAATCACTTGGTCACTAACCTCCACGTATATATGAAAGAAATAAACTGACCATAAGTGAGTTTGTTTTCCATGTTGGCCGAGAAAGTGTAACACTATTTTATTAGTGATAACAGATATCAGTTTAGTAAATATATCATTTATTTACATCAGGTATATAAAACAGCTACATAAATACAACAGGAACTAACCTACACCGGGAATATAAACGATAACATGGTACATTTAGACAACCATTCCGTCCTCCTGCGACGGCAGCTGCTACACTCGGGTGAGTCCATACGCCGGTCTCTGCTCCTTTGCTCCTCTCCTCCTCCCGTCTCTCCGTCTCTTTCCTCATCCCCGCTCCTCCTGGTTATATAGCCTCCGACAATAGGGAAAATAGATAAGACTCATTATCATAGATATATAAGGAATTGTCTATTGATCACGTCATGGTATGATTACTGAACAGTCCGTATTCCTTTGAAGTCATGCGAAGCTTGTACACAGATCATATTATGTACTTTGTAAATGACATATGGGATTAATTACATGTTTAATTAGAACGTGGCTAACAGAGTTGAAAAGTCGATATCATCTATTATCAAAACAAGCTGGGGTTGGTAAGTTCACAGAATCCAAATAATAGTTCGTATGTCACAAAAGTTCCTTAGAATCGTGATAAAAATCATATCGTAGCACCTGAATCGAAATACGTATCGTATCGTGACTGCAGTGGCAATACCCAGAACTAGACTCGTTTCCTCTTGCCATTGGAGCAAGACGGAGTGCCTGGTAAGGACAGTGTCTAGTAGTTCCGAATGGGATGAAATTGACGTGTACATAAAAGAAAAATCTAGTACCACATACTACTCTACTACTGTTGTCCGGGCAAAATATCTCTGATAGTACACTGCAAAGCGGAGATCCATCTCAATTTTCCCTATTGCTGACGAACAGTAGAACGTTAAACCCAATTTCATTTGAATAAACCTGGGAATTATCTTTGAAATTGTTTTTTAAATACCTGGAAACATTGAATATGTAGAACAGAACAATGATCTTGGAAACGGTATAAAACCTAGAATAGTCTATAAACGTACAAATCGTTATTCATAACGTCCTATTTTTCTGCATAATTAATAATACAAGATTAAAAGATACATAAATATTAATATACATTATAACCTCTGGTGCTTTTTAAAGAGTTTAGTGAAAGCTCATACAAAATGAATTACTCTTAGTAGGCTAGTGCTTGAATTCTTAAGATATGCTTAATTGCTAGTCTATGGTTACAAAAATTGAATAACATATATATATATATATATATATATATATATGTCTTTTTACATGGATGATAAATGAAGCGATGCCATATTGGATGAATAAAATGAGAATAATGTAGAAATTAATCACCCTTTTAGTATGTTGTTCAGTCATGATGTACATAGAATAACAATATTAAAATAACATTATTATACACTTTTCCAGTTTGACTCCCACCGTATGGGATGTACAGAACAATCATATACAGAGATACCCTTAAAAATATATTTTATGCAAGAGCTAAATCTGTCTATTGCAGGTCTTTCTTTAGGCCTGAAATGTTATCTTAATTAATAATTAGACTTTAATTAACTTATCCAGACCATAATCAACTCTCGATGTCATCGCTAGCCTGCGATGTTTATTGGATTAGGTTCCGAATTCCTGTTCGACTTCCATTCATAATTTAATCATTAAATGGATAATCGAGACTATGGTTTTTATCGTACAGGCTTTAGTAATGATGATCGAGGCTAGGCCGAAAATTCAATCGCTAAAATCTCAGTTCAGGGTGGATCAATTTGACTGAAATTATCTGCAAATTCCTTTTACTTTATCTAGTTTTTTTTTAACTATTGTAGTGAGAACTGCCAGCTCTTTATCTAATCTCCCATTATGTATCTTTAAATAGCAAATGGTGTCTGTGTCTCTAATCTTAATGCTATGCAATTACAGCATTTTGCACAGTTCCCACCTCAGACCCCCAATGTTTTTTGCAGAACTATCATTCCGTTCAATTTCACGGACACTCATTATTTCATATATTTTATACGTAATAAACTTACAGATTTGATAACAAAATGGCGACCTTGGCCACTGTTGACCAGACTCTTTGTATATTATATGACTGTGGGACAAAGTTATTGGGCGATTTGTCTTAAACCTGGAGAGCTTGCGTTGTTCAGGACCAGTTATTCAAAATAAATCAATCATACCACTGGTATGCGTTTAATGGCGATGGCATGGACAATTCTTCAGAAACCCTTATTTATGATATAATAAACCTATATAATCCCCCACAAAGAACAGTTCATATGGCATCGTTTTAGGCGTTATGGTGCTTTTCGTATTTTGATTTCTTGATCTGAACCCCGGATTGTCGGTTAATACGGTCTCTCTTCTTTCGTTATTTTACATTAAACTAGTAACTTTTGGAAAATGAGTCTCCTGGGTTAAGTCATTTCAGATGTCGTTGGGGCGCCATTTAAGGACAACTCGTCTAGAGTTTTCTCGTCCACTGTGATCACAATCTCCGTGTTTCTCCGGCGTACCTTAGCTAATATCTCCCGACCGTATATCGACGCCATTACTACTATTGCTACGGACAACCCGGCTTCAATAAGAGATATATAGCAAAACCACAAAGGTGAGAATTCCTCCATGAAATATCCCAACACAATAGGGTTACAAAATTTACCAACAGCTGACCCTAGTAACATAAAGGAGGAGATCTTTCCGCTCACTGAAATTATTGTTTTGTTAATCCAGGCGATAGCAACCGGAAATAAAATTCCCATAAGAAACCCGCATATCCCTGTAAAAATCCACACTCCAATAAGGGCTGAATAAATGGAACTTAGGGTTATGCCAGCTATAGTCAATACCAGTGCCAATAGCGAACCTAAAAGTAGAAGCGTCGGGCTTAACACGTCTGCGCAGAAGAAACCGACAGCTCGAACAATTACGTACATCCCGAAATACACGGATGATAACTGCGCTCCCTGGGTCTTGGACCAGTTCAACTGTTTAACCGCAAATGTCATGAGAAATGATGCGTAGGCATCTTCTATTGTGCTGTTGAAAACGAAAGTGGAAATTACTATTATTATGGCCACGATATAATGACGCATCGGCAGTTCTCGTACGTCTTTGTAACCAGTGGATGATTTTTCAATCTTTGTTGACTGTCTATTTCTGCAAGTCTGGAAAAGCAGTGGAAGCGATGCCACCAGGGCTAAAACGGCAGAAATAGTGTAGGCGTGATAGAGTCTGATATTGAGATCCGGAGACTCTGTGGAGTTGTTGCAAATTGAACTATTAAGCGAGAAATTCCTGCCGGATTCGTAAAACTGTTCTTCGCCAAATAATGCCTTTCTGCTGTAGTTGCTCGTGGAAATATTAACAACGTTTTCAATACACTCGACCTGTGTGTTGTTTAAAACACTTTCTACAAGATCTCTGGGTACCAAAAATGGTTCAGTCAACAAAGGTGCAAGAAAAGCTCCTACTGAAAATCCAAGGTTGACTAAAAACAAGTATGGTTGACTTTCTAGACCCCACATTCTTACAACGTCAGCACTGGCACCTGTGAAAAGAGAGAGAATGGCTATTATATTTAGACGCGGCGGGTGTAGTAGACAGGGCAGAGTATGCTCACGAATTCTGGTACTACGTCACTGTGATTGGGTTGTTTTAGTATTCCGACATATCAGTGCACCGCCATAGTTGGTGTTTACGTGACACAATGCGAAGAGGGCACGTGGTTCAGTAACCAGGTCAGATCCCGATGTTGGCCGAGAAAATTCCTCGGATTTTTCCGGCTACGTTTCGCATTGTCAGCGATGCAGTACTGCAGATCTATAGTCATTAGGGTGGTCCGAAAAACCCACGTCCCGTAGATACCATTGGCATTTAGATATCCGCTGGCAGTAGGCTGTAACGCCGATGTCTGTACAAAATTGTCCCCACAACGCATGACGTATGCCCGTCTTCATTAGTCCGGTTAGTTAAAGAAAGTAAGACGTTAAGTGACGTAAAGCCTTACTTCATTTCATCTATTAGTGTTTACAAGATGGCTGAAAAATAAACTCATACTCACTGGCATCAAGACCTCCCGTGAAGAAGGTATTACAGAACCAAGCTACTAACATGGCCTCGTAAGCTGTACAATATGGAATGATGACAACAGTAGCAGACATGCCCAGTACGGTCAGGTAGAGTAGAAGATTTCTATTAAACTTATCGTACAATCCACCAAACACTAAAGCCCCGACTACACTACCCACAGCAGAAGCAGTAAAGAAGAAGGAAGCGGATTCTAAGGATGTATTAGTTATCAGTTGAATATCCAGAAAGGCTGAACCTCTTTGGGCTATTATGAAGCCCTGAAAGTAACAAAAACAGTCGATGATACTGAATGAAATGACCACGGCTGCTGAATTAACTCCCTTAATATAAATTAACGGGTGAGAATCTTTGAACGTCGGGAGTTATACTTTAAATGAATTTGAAGGTGAAACTAAAGCGAATTTTATGGTGGATACTCTCACCCACCCACCCACTGGGACTAAAGTATATGATTGTATATAAACTGGCATCGCTAAATTAATTTTAAAATAAACAAAGAAATAATATTTGAAGATGAAACTAGAACTCGGTCTCTTCTTTTAAGATGCATTATGTAAGATTTCAATAAAGAGCTGACAGTTTTTGATATAATAGTTAAAATATAGATAATAAAAAAAAGGGAATATGTTAAAAATTTCATTCAAATTACTTCATTCTGAGCAAAATTATGGCAGTTTGAAGAATGGAGAATAGTATAGTCTCGAGTGTCATTACTACCATTGCTAGAATAGTAAACAAAGTTTTGATTATCCATTTTTTATTTAAAGTATTAACCGACGATCGAGTATAAATCCGTTGAAAATCACAACCATCCGTCTCTTTAGAGAGTTGATTATGGGCTTGGCATGTGAATAAATGTATAATTAATGATTTATATAACATGTGAGGTCAAACGATAGATTTGAAATGGGCAGATTTAGCACTTACATAATGCATCTTTAACATATTGCCGATATTTCCGAAAAATCGAAGACATTAGAGCCAAACCAATGCCTAAATATATTGCCGATATATCCATGATTTACAACTCCGTAGAAATAAAATCACACAACAGGCATTGACTGTTTGCATGCATAGATAGTTTACTTCACACTGTGGGGCATTAACAACTGATAAATTAGGAATGATATCAATATGTCTGCACTTTTATTTCTAAGATATCAACTAATTTCAAAAGTACAAGGCTTTTGGTTGAAACTGTAAAGTAGTTACAAGAATCAATGCGAGATTCTTCAGTGTAGAATGATCGGTAAACACCATACTAATCCCAAAGAAATAGTGAATATAAAAGGTTACCAAGGCAATATAAGCCACAAGAAGATATAGGGTTGGCACCAGGCGGGTTCGATATCCGGGTTCTCTCCATCTTTTACATAAAGATGATTTTCTTGGTGAATCAGCCATTTTCAAACCAGGTTTCCTGAAATAGTGAAGATAAAGAAAGTTAATGATAAAAATGTGGAATAATAATGACGGACCCAGAATTTTTACGTGCAAGATTTGTGATAAAGGGACCAATTAAAGGCGGGTACTACCCCTCCGACCCCACCCTAAAGACAGAATAAATTTACACAAACGTGTGAAAGTAGTTAAACCGCACATTATGTATCAAAGTATTTTGGGTTCCAGTAAGTTTTGGGGAATTAAGTGGGAATGGTTCAAAATGTTTTGGAGTCCAGGTGTTGACCGAGAGCATTTCCCGGGTGTTCCAGCGTTCTTTTATCTGCACGCCAACGTGGGGCCTCGGTTGTTTGTTCAATTCTAACGACTACACCATTCTTTGCCAGACCCCAATCCTGCAAGTGTACGTCGGTACGGTCGAAGATTTCTGACCACTACTGTTTTAGGCTATGGTCACTGTGGCCTTTTCACTAACAGTGCAATGGGGCGCATATTCTGCCCAATGTCCTCACAGGGACACAAATGCAAAATTGTATGTCAATACGGTGACATGCCTAGATATATTTATTTGGCACAATAATATACAACATAATAAATGACAAATGTATCTATGGTACACAATATTTTTAGCACTAATTTGGGGACTCCTAGCGGCAGCCCCCTCCCCCCACACACACACACGAACACACACGCACACACTTTTGTTCGTACCCTGCATGTATAGCATTAGAGGCATCCAGGTTTGTTCCTGTTTTGGTATCAACATTTTACAGCAGGTGTAATAATATAATTAGTATTAATGCTATATGAATTATAACGTTATATGAATATGAGAACTATTGTAACAATATTATGGCCTGGACATAATCAAGTTAAATAGCGCGTAAACCAATGGAAATTGGTAATAAATTAATACATGAAATGACTTATGGGTTGATAAACACGTTCTGTTTTCATGGCCATAAATGTATCATAATAATATTCTCTCTTGCTCATACAAATGCGCCAACGGTAATGGAATGTAAACTGCTTCCATATATAACTGCATACAAGAAACTATTGTATTGTTGTTCCTGATAAACATGCGATTTGGCTGCTGTAAATACGGAGGCCTACATAACGTGTTGTCTGAGTGAAGTCCAAGAATGGAGAATTATAAGATTATCCACGCCAGAGTTCAAACCACTAAACGTTCAACCGATATGTAGAGTACTACACAAGTTATATATCATTAGATGGACACCTGTGTTAGAAAAAAATCTACGATTTAGATTCGTCATAAGTTTTTGAATCATATGTTATACTAGCAGGATACCCGGCTTTGCCCGGAGCCTAAATTCGCCCAGAGCCCAAATTGAGTCGACTCATGACCTAAACCAGTCACGGGGTCATGCCGGTTAATTTCATACCCACGTGGATCGCGGCGACGAAGCGTGATGGCGAACATACATACATACATCTATACATACCATACATACATTCAGACATCATTGATTTTATTTCTATAGATTTCATCGTTGTATAGTCATCTTAAGGTTGCCATCTCGTTATCAATCCATATGACATATAAGTTATATCCTATCTTGACATAGTCTCAAAATAGATCATATTCAATTTATGCTATTTTCACAGTGTACAAATACGGATGATATTCAATAACAGTGGACTGTATAAAAAAAAACATCGAACACTTTAGCAACGGTTGTATTCACGGTAAAGTAAGTGGGCCCTCACGTTAATTCACGAGACTTATATGTCTATTTATATGCAAAAACGAAAGTAGAATAATATGAATATGGATATTATACTGAATAAATTAAGCAGATGTATTCAACTTAAGTATGAACAAATGAATATGTGCGTATATATTTATATCGACGAAATAGTAGGAATGTGGATAGGGATAAATCATCCGCATAAAAAGTAGCCCATGAAATATACAGTCACACTTTGAACCATTTCTTAAATCAGTTGACAACCAAAATAGCATTTGTTTGCATTTAACAACAGGCCACCATCCTATTACACGATTGACAAAAATTCGCCACTTTGAAAAATCGTGAAATACTTTTTTTGGCTAACATCGGAATCGACACCGGGGCATCCTAGTTAGCGAGCCAGTGACTTACTCACTTAGCCGCCGTGGCTCCCCATTGTGTATTAATAATATACTGATAGTGTAATGTATAAAGCAATATCGCTTACCTTTAATCTCACTAAAATTATTTACGTTCACACGTCTAAACTATGATGTGAAGTTCGTCAAAATATTGTATCCGGTGGTCCATCTGAAGAGCTATACGGATTCTGTGAAAGTGAAAGGTCAATTCCATCCATTATAAATTCTATGGGAGGGGAAAATACCAATGACTATATTATATAATAAACGTTTAGAGAGAAGATACATAGCTTAACTTGAACCGTCTTTGATATTACTCATCTGTCGAAGATAACGCACGAATGCAGAGCCGTTATTTTTAAATACTATTGTCCTTGTATAATTGTTTGCACTGAATCAAATAGCTGACTGAATGTTAATTTTACAGATTTGTTATAACCTTTTGTTTTAGACAAAATAAGCCTTATCAGATAACAACAGATCAAGGTTCAAAATTCAAATCATTTCAGTTTAGGTCAGATTTAGACATGGGCTGTGTCCCGTTGCCTGTTACGTCATTAGACCGGACTCTGATAAAGCGTACTGTACCAGATCTGGATTGAGCCCCGATAAAGCGCGCTGTACCGGATCCGGATCTGTTAAATCACTGAAGTTTAGCCAGCTGAAGCAGATATCCAAACTTTCGTTGGGAACTAGGTACGGTTTATATCACAGCCACGGGCTCACAGCCATTAGTATTAGGGTTAGGGTTTCAGATGGGAATTCCCCTATGGCATGCCGTTTTGCACCGTCCTACAAATTCTGACCCCTGCCATGTCAACACAAAGTGGCATCCATACGAGAGACTGTTCGTGTTAGTGGGGAATGCGGCTACTAAACTGTTCTTATAATAGTAAGGTAAATAAACAATAACTCGGGATCACATGAGGTCAATTGTGTTAATAAATATTGTATTCATTTTATCAACCACCCCTTTAAGCTATATCAACGGTGATGGACCTCCCAACTAATATTAAATTCAAACGCATCATTGTAGTAAGGTGCTGACTTGCTAACCAGAAGGTCTCGAGTTCTCATTCCCTCTGACAAGGTTCCTACGGTTTTTTTCGGCGAGATTTGCCCTTGTCACTGATGCAGAACAGAGGGACTGGCAAGGAACGGCGTCTAATCGTTCGGATGGGACGACAAACATTGGCGTGCGCGTAAAAGAATCATTTTTAATTGGAATTCAAAATAAGAGTAAGCCATAGCGTCGCTGTTTGGGCAAATTCCCCTCATAGCACACTGCACTGCGTATACCCAGCTTCATTATCCCGGCTGGTAACGAAAAGTAGCATACTAAACCCTAAAACATTTCCGGTCACGGGTGGCAGAACCTGTATTGGGACAAGGTCACTGACAAGAATTCAACCAAATGAGTATATTTTTGTCCATATGGGTTACGAATGCCTTTTTTTAACTCTGTAGAAGATAACTGACCTTTAAGTTCATATACATTATAGGCTTACGTGTAACATCGGACGTAGGAACACAGACGGTTCATTTTACGCCGTCGAGTTCTATTTTATATACCCATTTATTCTATATAGGTAGTATTTTGTATCCAGATATACTTCCAGTATTGAGAGCTAATTAAATCGGCCCAGGGGTTTCAAAGCCAACCCGTTCAGACGGATAAGATGAACCAGTTTAAAATGAAAAGCCTTCTCGGAGACAGGTCGCGAGCTGGGGCTTTTTGAAACGGGTTTATTAGCCTCACATTTGCGTTCAGACGCTTAAAGCGGAAATTGGAAATTTTTAAGTTATATTTTTAAAATTTATTAAAATAAAGCCTGAAAATAGATGGTATCCATAAACAGTCCTACCTTGTTAAAGAATAATTCTATTAATCCTATAATTCACTATTGTCAGCTGAGAAATTGGCAAAAATATCATTTTCCTCTTCATTTTCAAACGTTTGAATATCGCTACTCCAAGGGAAATAATTGGGAGGTAATTGTGTTATTATTTCCTGTGTAAATGAATCTTAAGTGTGAGAATGACACCTATGATCGTATAATTGTGAGTTGACAACCTATTGAGCAAAAGACAGAAATAATTACGTTTTGACTTTCTTAGAAAATTTGCAATTTCCGCTTTAAGTTAAACTGGTTTAACGATCCCCGGGTTTTTTAAACCAGTTCAACTTAAGCGTCTGAACGGGCTACAAGTTAGTGTAATAAAACAGTTCAAACAAGGACAACGTAATATTTACTGTATACGATAGTAATGATTTTAGGCAAATTGGCAAACCATTAAATTTAATTTTGATTTACTTTATATACAGTTTAAAGGACACAAGTTTTCTACTTGCAATAAGGTGGATATTGTTCTTATCATTCCTCATTTGGGTCGGAAAGTTAAGAACAAAATACAAATTCAAACTACAATATTTAAGAAACTGGTCATTAAATGACCCCATTGCATGTGTAAATCGACAATTTACTGTATAAGTAAGAATATGTAAGTAGGCCATACACATTCCAAAAGGTCTTGGCGGGGTGGGGGGGGGATAACGTCCACTCGGCACAAAGTAGGTCATTTCGGGACTAATAAATGGTTCATTTTTATATTATAACATCGCTTGCCCTTAGAGGTCTTTAGCAGTAGGAGAAAACCGGAGGACCTGCGAGAACCCACGAGGTTAGACAGGTGACCTTATTTGTGTCACGAACAAGCGGTGAATCGAAACCACGAAACATGACAAACCTTTTGATCCAACGAGCACGCGTTAAAAATTCGCCCACCCAAGCCCCCCCCCCCAAAAAAAAATGGTCTTAGTAGTAGTGGTGGATCGATAACTGAGGTTCTGGCTCGATAACGTGGAGGTCCCATGTTCAATCCGAGTGTTGACAGAGAAAGCTCACATCGAATTTTACTACGTGAATCCCCCATGTCAGTGGTGCAGAACGGAAGGCCTGACGAGTGACAGTGCATAGCTGTTCGGATCGGACGAAAACCCGGGGTTCCGTGTATGTACACGCTGTTCGGGCAGAATTTTCCTCTCAGAACACTGTAGGGCATACGCCCGTTTTCATTTCACCAAATAAAGAATTATTGATGGTACGATCGATGTCTAACATCCTCCTCGATATCTCTTACTCGTTGAGAACAAAGTTTAGTCTTCCCGAAACCAAATGGATCCGACTGAATGTAACCACAGAGAGTGATAACAAAACCCACATCATAAACTAAAAAACAGATTTTTAATACTTGAAAAACATGACATAATTAAAAAGATGAAAACCATGTGAAACATTATATTTTATTATATTCGCTGCCCGACCTTCTGCATATTGAAAATATTAACAAAACACCATCCTGAAATGAAGACAAAAACAAGAATTTTATGTTTATAAGAATTTAACTCGGTTAATGTCATGTACACTTACAATAGATGGTATCAGGTGTTCTAGAATTAGTAAGCATACCCTAAATTGAGCACGATACGCGCCACTACTTATTGTTTAAGCGATAGTTTGTACTTGGATTTCATAATCTGAATCTTCTTGGTTAACGGTAATCGGAGCGATAGCTCGTGATAATGACACGAAAATGAAATGAAATAGGGTTTAACATCCTACTGTTCTGCTCCGACTGGGATAATGAAGACGGGCATACGCCATATAGTGTACTATGAGGCAAATGTTGTCCGGACAGCGGCACTATGGCCTACTCTTATATCGAATTCCATCTGCCAAGGGATCTTTTACGTGCACGCCTATATATACACGGGAAATCGTTTTATCGGCCCATCCGAACGACTAAACAGCTGTCATTAACAGGGTCTCTATCCTGTACCACTGACAAGGGGAAACCAAGCAGGTAAATCCCTGGGGAACTTTTGCGACCAACAACAGGTTCGAACCCCGGACATAGTTATTCAGCGCCTTACTAACGAATGCACCGCGGCTCCCAGGTTGCTGATTAGACGGGAATGATTGTGTCCCTTGACCATATGTCGACCGGGTAACCGGAGAATCGTCTAGAGTGTAGTATCAAAGTCTAAGACTGACCTTTATTAAACCCGGAAGTGCCGTCCAGAAAGTATAGTTTGGTACCACCTCTTTACCAGTAGCGTGTCGTGCAAATTTATTTATAGAAACTCCAACTACCACATACACAATAACCAATACCAGAACTCTGATGATAGTAGGAGAATTCATATTAATATTAACCACCAATATATAGAGACGAATTGTAATAAAGAAGAGAATATTAATCATCAATGATTTACCACGAATTATAATTACGAACATTAATCCTAAATATTTACCAGGCATACAGACGAATTAAAATAGCGTAGTCATCACTATTTTTTACCAAGTACGTATTATACAGACCAATTATGAAAACTTACAGAACACCAATATTTTACCACGAATTATTATAACGAACATTAATTGACAATATTTTACCACGAATTATTATAAAGAACATTAATTATCAATATTTTACCACGCATACAAACGAATCATAATAACTTAGAGAACTTTATTATCGATATTCCACCACGGATTATTATAAAGAACATTAATTATCAATATTTTACCACGCATACAAACGTATCATAATAACTTAGAGAACTTTATTATCGATATTCCACCACGGATTATTATAACGTACATTAACCATGAGTATTTTACCACAATTATAATAGAGAACATTTTAAATTATCAATGATGCGTTAACACGTATACAGACAAAGTATAATTATGTAGATAACATTGGGTGCTTATAAATTACGGTTATATATGTGAGTAGTAGGAATTGAGCGAGATTTCACTGTATGCCTGGTGTTCATTTTTAGACTGATATTAAACTAATCATCTCCCCCGCACACACGAACATCTGTATTGAAAGTATATACAATATTAATCCGGGATTCCGTCGCGTAAAACGTAACTCATGTTTATAAATTGTGTACCTGGCCCCATACAAGCGACATGGTAATATCAATTACCAATTGAGGTCACTATATACTATACATTGTGTGATCAAATCAATAAATATTCATACCGCGTGCTATTATTTAACGGAGACCAGAGAGAGAGAGAGAGAGAGAGAGAGAGAGAGAGAGAAATGGGGTTTTACGTCCACTCGACACAAACTAGGTCATTTCGGGACTTACATATGGTTTAATTTTATTTCAATAATTCTCTAGCGCGTAGGGGCCTTTAGCAGTGGGAGGAAACCGGAGGATCCGGAGAAAACCCACGAGGTTGGACAGGCGACCCTTCTCCTTGTCACGTACAACCGGGGATTCGAAACCACGCCAGTTGACTCAATGACAGGCCTTATGATGCAGCACGCACGTGCTAACCATTCGGCTATCCAACCCTCCGACCAGAAATAAACTATAAAAGGTATGTTGACTTGGCATCGCAGCAATGGATAAAGTCAAAGCCAGTAACATAATAATCCAAGTGATAACTATACTTACACTATAAGTATTATAGAACCCACAGTTAAAGTAGTCGATGAACTGCCAGGTTCTGGTTTTTTAGCACATGCATATTTACTTGTTAAGGACATAAGCTAAAAATATTAAACATAATTTTTAAAAATATCACATTTAGGATACAATATTTAATGCACAGGATTAAAAAACGAAAAAATAAACATATAGAACACAGCATTTACTCATCGGTGAGATTCTTTGGATATGGGCAAACATTATTTAGCTTTTAATGCGAATATTAAAGAATTTTACCAATATGATCAAAACACAGATCCAATTTCGTTACGTTTTTATAGTTCAAAATTTCGATTTTACTTGTCTTTACTACACTTGGATCTGGAAGCGTTGTTATTTAACTCGTGTTCTGCTTGAAATGAGGGGTCAGCCAATCAAATGGTCTGTCGAATCAAGCGTTTGACCTTTTTTGCGGGAACTGTGGGTAGAAATGAAATGAAATAAATGGGGTTTAACGTCCTACTGTTCTGCTCCTAAACTTTGGCTAATGAAGACGGGCATACGCCAACAGTGTGCTATGAGGGAAATTTTGCCCGGGCAGCGGCTCTACGGCCTGCTCTTATATCGAATTCCAACTGCCAAGGGATCTTTTACGTGCACGCCAATGTGTACACGGGACCTCGGTTTTTCGTCCCATCCGAACGACTAGACAGCTGTCCTTGTCAGGCCCTCCGTCCTGCATCACTGACAAGGGGAAACCACGCCGGAAAATCTGGATGAACTTTCTCGGCCAATGCAAGGATCGAACACCCGACCTCCAGGCTAGCGAGCCAGCGTCTTACCCACTTAACCACGTGATCCCCAGGAACTGTGGGTAGACATTAGCGGCAATAGAAATCAAAACAAAGCAAAAGTAGATAAAAAAAATACATGGCGGTCGCTAATTGGTTAATCGAATGACTAACGTAATCGGGTCAAATGTCGCTTGCTTGGTACCTGACGTCATAAAACGCGAACTCCTACTATAACTTGTTAGATCTGCATGTAGTGTAGGCCATCGAAAGTATAAAAAACGAAACGAAATATAGATCTTTATTTTAATTAGATTGAGAATTTAACATTCAACATCTTACTGTTCTGCTCGGACTGGGTTAATGAAGATGGGCATACTTCATCGACGTCATCTTGGAATGGTGATATCAAAACCCGAATGCGCAAGTAACCAAGGAAAAAGCAGGTTAGATTTCACACCGATCAAAGGGAGATAACGTAGCTATAAATTCGGGAATTGCATTCATCTAGTAACGTCTAGATGTAAAACTCGCTTTCGTTGCTTCAGGAACATGATGTAAACCAAACTGGTCCTCCAGTTTAGTGAGCCAACGTTACACTCACTGAGTGATCGGGGCTCACCTTTTCATTTTACACCCTATAAGAAAATAATATATGTATTCCCATCTCTTTTAAAAGTTATCGACAAAAGAATTAATTATTGTTAAACATACATTATGCAAGAGCTAAATCTGCCTATTAATATAGACATTTATTAACACCTAAAGACCATAATGAACTCTCGAAGCCATCTTTGAATCCGATCTGCTGCTCAACACTCTTTGATGATTAAATCAAAATATGAATAATCGTATTTGAATTGGCAGAATCCTTACCCTTATTGGAATAGTGTAGCCCACAAGATGAATAACAAGATCAGTAATGCATGGGGACCTCAAAACATTTAAAGGATCGAAAAATAAAACTGACAAAAAAAACCCGAGACATTAATTTTTTTGAACCAGCAAAAAGGTATGATGGCCTACTTCGGACAAATCGTTACGGTTTATGAAAATTTAACCCAATTTGACGTCTTTAATGTTTAACATAAATTTCATCTCGTGAAAAAATATATATAATGTATACTTACATACTTTCCTGAAGCAGGTCCAGATTCACCTGCAGCTGTTAATGACCCTTCTTGACTTTCGTCACAAACCAATTCTACAACAGCTATTCTGTAATTAACCAAGGGGCTGTTAAGTACGCTTTAGATCATAAGGTCGAGTAGCGTGGTTTCGGTACCACACTAGTACGTGACAAGGGGTAGGATCGCATGCCTAACCTCGTGGATTTGTATAAGCTTTAACATCTTTAATACAAATTTAGGACTATTTTATGCAGACTAATATTCGTCGCAGTCGATGCGTGATCGAGACTATACTAAAACCAGCCAATTTGAATTGTAGTAGAAGAGTAGTTGGTTATTGAACGTCCGCTTTAACAGTAGTGATATCGCAGACAATGGTTGAAATGCTACTAGATTCACTCTTTGTACCTACCATTGTTGCTCAACAGAAATATATCAAATATTTAATTGGTTAGTCAAGGATGTTGCTACTGGTTCATTCTTAAATTTGTGCCAAAATTAATAGAAATGATCTCGAGATGTTGTCAAAGCTGGGTTGCTTTAATCTAGTTTACCTTGGTAATGTAGGATCCGGTTTACTGGTATAAGTAACTTCTAAATTTTTCTTGTCGTTTATTTGGAACGCTGCAGAATTCTGGTCACCTAGAGCGAAGTATCGTGTTTTGTCTCCGCCTTTCTGTATTTGACAAGCCTGTTTAAAAAATGGATTAAATCAACCGGTACAATACTGATACAACAATACAATGAAAAATATATTAGATACTTAAATTTCGAAAATGATATAGTGGAGGGGCTAACAATTGTCAAATGACGAGACTCCCTATAGAAAATTTTCTAAAAATTCGAGGCGAAATACGCGATGTGGAAAGGGGCCGAGATAAGAAAACAATCGACAGCAAAATCTTAGCACCAGACAGAAAATGACTCATGAAGATTGGATATAGCTAGTTTCGAATGAAAAAAGTATACAATTCATTCTTTAAATGCCCCCCAGATTGGGCATAAACCCAGTACAATCCCTATAAGCCATTCACGTAATACCCTGTATATTTCAGTCCTAATTTCGATTGGCTACTGACCCAGCTGATGAGCCTACCAGATTCCCCGATCATCGCGAATACCAAGTCTTGCGCTTTCCAGCTAAAATGTCTATCTGTGATAATCGAGTTACAAAGTTCAGGGTTCGTTCAATGTTAAGGTTTCCGTGGAGGTCGCCATGTTTGATTTGAGTGTGTTTGTGTCACAACCCCTGGACGCTATCGTTAAAGGGAGATAACGTAGCTTTAAGTTCGGGAAATACATCTCATCTAGCAAAGTCTAGATGTAAAACTCGCGGTCGTTGCTTCAGGAACATGGTGTAAACCAAGCTGGTCCTCCAGTTTAGTGAGCCAGCGTCACACTCTCTGACGCTCTATCCCAGGATTGGCCGAGAAAATTCATCTGGATTTTGTGACGTGCAGGACGAAGGATCTGACATAGACAGCTGTCTAGTCGTTCGGATGAGATATAGCCGAAAAAGGTAATGATGAAAAATATCTCGTTTAGAGTCCACGGAGCAGCGGCCTGCGAAGCCGATCGCCCAAACAAATAATGTTGATTCACGGAAAAATGTCGTTTGCTCAAAACATATTCTAGTATTCCCTATGGATCAGAGTCTCACAAAATGACTGCATATTATGGTGGTCTCACGCATGGTTTCAATCCGGCCCCGGTAATAAATACAATTTCTGTGTTTGTTTTACATGACAGGTATACACAGTGGCCTATGAAGTAAATATTTATCAATTTGTGTTGCTATATTTGTCCTCTATAATGAGTTTCATTAGTTATCTAATCGCATGTAGACCTAATTATAAAACTTACGGCAACATTAACACAGTGAGTGTCAGCTTTCTCCGTAAAATCTACACATGGATTCCATGAAAACCCATCGCCCGTTGTAGCCGTCACATCAGCAAACCTAAAACGAAACGTTTCTTCAAGTATATCGTCCCATGGAGTAATGGGATAGCTGAAACCGCGTGTGCCGTACGGGACAATATATACGTTTGGATAAAATCGTGCAAAAAGCAGAACAGTAACTTATACTTATAAGAGCTAATTCTCTATTCATTGGCACCTAGAAATGGACACAAATGGGTGGCAACGCATATAATAATGTAATATAAATGTATATAAACTGATTTACATTCAATTGTTTCTGCTGTTACTGTAATTTCTAATTAGTTATGCGTTCGGCGAAAAACTGAATGGCAGTCTTTGGCATCTGGTTACTCCAGCGAAAATTGGTAGTATTCTCCTGTGAGGTATGTTTAGCCTTATTCAACCAGTTACTTCCTTACAAATGGTCGAATGGTGTGCCAGTTAAAAAAGAATTAATTCTGTCTTAAACATTGGATAACAGACGTTTATCGTTTCACGGGAAGATAACAACACCTTTGTTGATTTAAATTAATGTCGTGTTTGCAATGTCGAAGACTGTGGATGATATTGACTTAAAGACTTGCCTCCTTTAAAGAGAGCGGGTTGGATGACCGAATGGTTAGCACGTGCGCGCTGTATCATAAGACCTGTCATTGAGTCAACTGGCGTGGTTTCGAATCCCCGGTTTCCGCCCACTGCTAAAGACCCCTACGCGCAATCGAATCATTGAAATAAAATTAAACCATATTTTAGTCCCGAAATGACCTAGTTTGTGTCGAGTAGGCGTTAAACCCATTTCTCTTTCTCTCTCTCCCTTTAAAGAGATGGTATGTAAGGTTGAGCTGGGTTGGGTTGGGGCCGGCAGACGTTTGTGTATAAATGTCAGAATAAGTAGATCAATAAAAAGGGTGGTAACTCGTGCTAATTGAAACAATCGTGTTCATCCCGACGATCTTCAGTTTTTGATACGAGACCTCGTCCATTTACAGGATATTTTCAGACATGTTGATCATATTTCTGTGATGATATTTGTCTAGTTTAACATGGAATGAGCGAAGGAGAAAGTAACAAATATGACCGACTCGGTATGATAGATGAGGTATCTGCGCCAACCCGAAATCGTGGTATGATCCTTTTCCCATTATTTGAAGAACTTACTTGTATGGTGGCCACTGGTCAAGCCTATACTTCTAGTGACCAAGGTTACTTATGTGGCACAGACCACGATTACTTACTTGCATGGTGGCCAAGCTTACTTACTTGTGTAGTGGCTAAGCCTACTTACTTAGCTTTACCGCTTGTGTCGGTCAATGGGGACAAATCAACTATTAATCCACTGTCCGTTAGACAGGAACAACTGGTCACTTTTGTACATTTTGTATAAGACACTGCCCCTTGCACTGTTATCCAGCCGGTAAATGTAGTAAATATAAAGAGAACATCACCGAACAACTCCATGTTAATTTTCGAATTGAATCAGGAGAAAACGATTAAAATATTTTGTCAAATCCTCTCGCATGGTATAATATTTTCACGATGCAAGTAAATAAATTTAAAATAACAAAGTAAACATCCCATGACCCCTGATTACCTGATAACAAGATAGTTAGGCCCAACCCACAATTGTGCAAAGATCAAATAACAATAACATTGTAACTGTGCAGGTTGAATAATATCTATCTGTTACAATTTATATCTAGAATATTTCAGATAATATTTTAATCATTTTAAAAGTAAAAGTCTTCACATTTTAATCTGTATTCATTTAAACTCTTTTCCGGCGTGGTTCCCCCTTGTCAGTGGTGCAGGACGGGGGGGGGGGCTGACAAGGACAGCTGTTTAGTCGTTCGGATGGGACGAAAAAACGAGGTCCCGTGTACACATTGGCATGCACGTAAAAGATCCCTTGATGATTGGAATTCGATATAAGAGTAGGCCGTAGTGCCGCTGTCCGGGCAAAATTTCCCTCATAGCACACTGTATGGCGTATGCCCGTCTTCATTAGCCCAGTTTGGAGCAGAACAGTAGGACGTTAAACCCCATTTCATTTAATTAAAACTCTTATGACAACGATTATTCTTTCAACCGGTTGATCGTGTATTTGCTATGAAAAGGTGACCCGCCACTCATTAAAATACAGATCTATAATTTCGTTTCGTTTTTTTATACTTTCGATAGCCTACACTACATGAAGATCTGACCAGTTGTTGTGGAAGTTCGCGTCAGAGGTCATACGAGCGGTTTTTTGGCCCTATGACGTCAGACATTTGACTAACCAATCAGCGTTGATGTTTCTAGTTGGTTATCCACATTTCCGTGCACATCACGCCAAAAACTCACCGTAACAGATCGTTTCATTGGCTAATCCCTCACATCATCCAGTACGCGGGTTATATAACAACTCTTCCAGATCCTAGTGTAGTAAAGACAAGTAAAACGAAATTTTAATCTATGAAAAACGAAACGAAGTAGGATATGTGTTTTAATCAGATTGTGCCACGGTTGAAACAATGTCATGTAATGCTGATGCCGTGTTAATTTAGTACAACTCTTTGACATGGTCTGTCTTGTGAAGAACATGTCGAGCGTATGATTAATCTATTTTAAATTATTCTATCAGTGCTTGCTTGTGGCAAACCTTATACTCCACAAATGAATAGACGTGATCTATCCGACTTAGTAGCACCCGTTACTAGTCCGTTATCCGAGACTTTTTATTAAACATTTCCAGTATTAAAGATTGGAGAACCATTCCAGATTCATAACCTGACACAGAATTACATAGATGTACCGTAAAAGGTTCTGGATCGAGATTTTTTCGCGTTCTGAGTAGGAATATCCGATAACGATTTGTCGTCTGATCGTAGAGAATGGTTTGGATGATACTCGATTTTAAAGATAACATGGAGCCGATTTGTTAATAGATCGTTAAGTTAAAGGTAATATTAAATCGTCAATCCTTTCTCAAGCACGAAGGAACCAAGTGTGGACACGTCACGCGAAAAACATTGTCGTCAACAAGGGGTAATCTTAGACTCCAGACATCAATTGATTTATGGATGCATAATTGTAATCAAATACGATCAAAGTACAGCTTTATATAAAGACTGAATAATAATCAATCAGAGTAAAAAAAAATAGTTGTGGTATTAACAGTGACGATATGAATTATAAGCTATTTTGGAAACCATGCAAATCTACAAATAACTTAATTGTCATTTCCATGTAGAATCGTCTTTTGGTGGGGTTGGTAGAGTACCTAGATTTGCTTATCATCAGTAAGAAAGATTCGCAATACAAAGCCAGCACCGAGCGTAGAGCAGAAGATTAGACACTTGTAACCAACAAAATGTTGTTAGGAAGGGGGGAGCGGTCCACAAGACCCCGTGTGTCCCATAATGTAATACTCGTAGTTTCTTGCCAAACGATGAATGTTGGCACTGCCTCACTTCCGTTCTATTTGCAGCATTATACCCGACATTCAGTAGCTGACAATGTATAAAATTCTCACGAGACAATTATGAACCACAAACGTTCAGGATATGGGCGTGGGGTCCCGAAATACCCCTTGTTGAAGCCTTGTATACGCACAAGGTTTAAACTGGAGTAATATGTGATGATATATTTAATTTTCAGCGTTTCAACGTATAGCTGAAAATAGTTGTCTGTTCGTAGGTCATGACACATGAATATTAATTAGATGTGATATGCACGTGCGTGCTTGTCTATAAGTGTGTGATGTGTCATTCTAGCTTCTGTCGTCGACTTGAAAACTACAAGTTTCAACAATGGATCAGGCGGCAATATCAAGTTTTATATCATCTAAAGTTTTAGAATCACAGTCATCTATGTTAGATAAAATAGACAATCTGATTTCAACCAAATTGAATGTATTTCAAAAACAGATTAGCGAGAATCAACGAAATCTAAGTGAATCTCAGGTAGCTCGTATTGAGCAACTAAGTCAGACGTCATATAAATTTAATAAGAAGGGGAATGAAGAGCAACACAAGGCCAACTCAAAAGTCGCCCAGAAATTGTATGAAGCCAAAGATTTACTACAAGATAATTTTGAAGGCGCGATCGCCGATGAATTGAACACCAAGATTAGCGAAGGTATAGACGTCATAAATCACCGTCAGAAACTGATCAAGTTAGCTGATAGTTCACAATATGGATGGATGGCTGCAGAAGAATATGATCTAAATAGCATCGCAGATGATACCGACGATGAAAAGAAGATCCAGAAGGCTGAATCTTCTGCCTTCCGTAAAGTCAAAGCGAAGCAGCGTCGTTTACCAAAAAATCGGTTTACGCCATATGTAGTCCACAACCAGAGATCTGAGCAACTACAGACCAACCATAGAAATTTCAAACCTGGTTTATGTTTTGCATGTGGGAAAGCCGGCCACTGGCGAAACGAATGCAGGGAAATTAATCAGGCAGCCAGCAATAACAGGGCAGATAAGATAAGTAATAGCCCAGATATTTTGGGCGAATCTCTGTTTGATTTCGCACAATTAGCCGGTAAAGTTGGCAAAAAGGGAATAGATAGCCCAGTAGGCCGTCTAAGAAAAGCTATTTTCAAATGGACGGAGATAGGTTGTAATCCTTACATTTTAGAAGTAATTAAACATGGCTATAAACTCCCTCTGCATACTGTGCCATGTTCTGTAGCTTTAAAAAACAATAAATCGGCTTTAAGCGAGCCGGATTTCGTAACCAAAGAAATTCAAAATTTACTGTTTAAAGGTTGCATTTCTGAAATATTTCATAAACCAGAAGTCATTAACCCTTTAACTGTAGCCAAAAACAAATCAAAACTTCGTCTTGTGTTAGATTGTAGACATATTAATCCCCACCTATATAAATATAAATTTAAATATGAAGACGCTACTGTTGCAAAGCAAATATTTGAGAAAGGCGATTTTGTATTTGGATACGATTTATCTTCTGCTTATCATCACATAGAAATTTATCCTGGCCATAGACGATACCTTGGGTTTTCCTGGGATTTTGGCGATGTTATTAAATACTATGTTTTTAATGTACTTCCATTTGGAATTTCTACAGCAGGATACATATTTACTAAAACGTTAAGAGAATTGATTTCCTATTGGAGAAATAAGGGGTTAAAGATAGTCATGTTTTTGGATGATGGCTTGGGAGGGGCAAATAATTTCGCCGAGGCTCGAAAAGTAAGCGACGTAGTAAGATCTGATTTAATAGAATGTGGTTTTCTCATAGCAGAGAGTAAAAGTCAGTGGTGTCCACAGCAAAACATTCAGTGGTTAGGTCTCAAATGGGATTTTTCTGAAGGGAATGTTTATGTGTCTGATTCTCGTATAGTAAAATTAATTCGGAATATCAACATGATTATCGATCAAATTGGTCAAAACGAGTTGATAAAAGTCAGAACTGTAGCAAATATAGTCGGACAAGTAATATCCATGCAGCCTGGAATTGGCAAATTAGTTCTTTTGAGAACAAGAGAATTGTACAAAGTTGTTGAGTCAAGAGCAAGTTGGAATGCTCCGGTAGTAGTTGGCCAAAGCGCCATTAGCGAGCTTAGATTTTGGCAGAACAGTTCAAATTTCGATTTTGGCATGGGTATAAAACATAATTTCGAAATCGATTATAATATCTTTTCGGATGCATCTGGGTATGGATACGGGGGATACATAAATGAGACTAACCAAGAGTTCGTGGGACATTGGTCCTTTTGTGAGAGCAATCAAAGTTCTACGTGGAGAGAACTTGAAGCCATGAAACGTGTGTTATTTTCATGTGGGCGTGACCTGGAAGGGTACACTTTGCGGTTCTATACCGACTGTAAAAACGTGGTTAATATTGTTGAGAAGGGGAGTCGTAACGAAATTCTCCAAAGTAAATCATTAGAGATAAACAAATTTTGTAGGGAAAGAGATATCAAGGTTATCCCTGTGTGGATAGCCAGGGAATGTAATCATAAAGCTGACAGACTGAGTCGACAGTCGGATAAAGACGATTGGCAAATAGATGATTTTATGTTTCACAAACTTGACAACATGTTTGGACCACATACATTTGACAGGTTTTCGAACGAATATAATGCCAAATGTTGCAAATTTAGTTCTAAAGTTTGGTGTCCATATACTAGTGGGGTTGATGCTTTTTCAACTTCTTGGTCCGGAGAAAATAATTGGCTAGTTCCACCTCCATATTTAGTATCAAACACAATAGATAAGATAATAAAAGAAAAACTGAAAGAATGTACTCTTGTAGTCCCCGTATGGATATCAGCACCGTACTGGCCTAAAATACATGATGGGAGTTCTTTTCTAAAGTATATTGTAAGTCAAGAAATGTTCAGTGCAAAGCACATTAGGAAAGGGTATGGAAAGAACGGTATTTTCGGCAGCAAGAAAGTCGAGTTTAATATGATCGCTTTAAAAATTAATTGTATGACATGATCTGATTTCAGGTTTAGGGTTAGAGGAATCTCTCAAACAAGACGTTCGAGATGCTCAGTTAAGTAACCAAACATCAGATAATGTTCAAACATTAACAAGAAGTTTAGCGCATCATTTAGTGGAATCTAAAAGCAAGAATACAGTAAAAAGTTATTACAGTGGTTTTAAACGATGGTCAGAATTTGCAGAAAAGGAGAAATTTAACGTCATTCCTGCGCAACCTATTCATGTGGCATTATATTTAACGAGTTTAATCGACAGTGGAAAATCACCATCGGTTATTCAGAATTCTATTTATTCAATTAAGTGGGCTCATTCAACGCGCAACGAGCCGGATCCAACTGGAAATAATTATGTGAAGAACCTCGTGGAATACGTTAAGAGGCATAATAGTGTATCCAAAAACAGAAAATCGATAGTAACTTCTCAACAGATAATTGAATTGTGTACAAAATATCATAATTCAAATGATTGTTTAATATTGAGAGATTTAGCCTATATTGTTTTATGCTTTAATGGTTTTCTTCGCTTTGATGAAGCCAGTTCCTTGAAATGTAGCGAAATAACATTGCATGATACATATATTTCGCTTTACATAAGAAAGAGTAAAACCGACCAATATAGACAGGGCAATACTGTTGTAATTAGTCAAGGTAATACGGCCGCTTGTCCACTAAATATAATTAATAGGTATATTCATCATTGTAATATATCTTTGACGTCGAATGATTTCTTTTTTAAACCAATGTTTCGATCGAAATTCAAATGTAGACTCGTTAATAGAAATAAACCAATCAGTTATACACGTGCGAGAGAAACCGTTATCTCTCGTCTTAAAGAGGTATGTGGACAAGAGGCCGATATTGGCCTACATTCGCTTAGGTCAGGGGGTGTATCCATGGCCGCGCAATCAAATGTAACGGAAAGATGTTTAAAGCGACATGGGCGTTGGAAAAGCGAAATAGCCAAGGACGGCTATATTGTAGATTCATTAGATAGTCGGTTACAGGTTACCCGAGAGTTACAGTTGTAGTTTTTAGAGAGAGGGAGAGAGAGAGATGGGGTTTGGCGTCCGCTCGGTGCGGACTGGGACGTTTCGGTGCTGGGATGTGGTTTTGGTTTTATTTCAGTGGTTCGCTTGCGCGTGGGGGTCTTGGGGGTGGGAGGAGGCTGGAGGACCCGGAGAAAACCCACGAGGTAGTTTTTAAGCAATAAACACAACCATTCTCACCCGTTCTTTGATTCTAAGCGTTGCGACAGGCTTAATGCATAATTTTTGTTATTTATTGTCGTAGTTGTATATGGGCGAGAACAGACAGTTTTAGTGACGATGTAAGCCGCACGATTTTGATTCCTTGGCAGAACCCTAACCAGTTAGTAAAGAATTACAATAGTCAGTTCTGGAAGGCACAGAGTTTTGAGCTAGGATTGCAGCAGTTCCTTTTGATAGATTAAATGTCACATTTCTTGTGTCTGGTCTTTCTTTCGATAAGTATTAGCATGTTGGATAAGATCCAGAATTTAACACCTTATGAACAACCTTCCAACTTCCTGATGACAATATGTTGGTTAACCCGATTTGATTTGAAGCTGTCAATGAGCCGAGAGTTATCAGCTCAAAAGTGAAGATAATTCGACCTCCTTGGAGACACCGCATAACAGCTGTTGATGACTAGGTTAACTTAGACATGCTGAAAACGTCCAGTGAGACATGATGAAAACTACTTTAGGATTGAATCTAGTTATCTATAGTTTTATTCAAGTCATTGACGAGACTCCAGTTCCTATATGGCAAAATGATGGCATTTTATCCAGACTAACATTTGTTGCCGTCAAAGTGGACATGATGAATTTACCTTGGAGTGATCGAGGCTATGATGGTATGTGCTGAACATTCGGTATTTGGAGTGCTCAAACTTCCGCAAAGCGTCGATGAATGAATCAAGGGAAGCTTCAAATTCGGTCACCAACAGATCCAATGAACGAATTCGACAAAACTCAGCAGTTGATACGTCGGATTGAGTCTGCAGTATTATGTATGTTAGACGCTCGAAAACTAACTAAACAAACTAA